ATATATATATATATATTTATAATATTTTTTGGCATAAATACATAAATTTAGTTATATTATTACTGAATATTTTCATCAATAAATAAAAAAAAAATATATTTATTTATTTATTTATAAAAATGTTCAGTAATAATATAAAGTAAATATACTAAAGTTATATATTTATGCTGAATTTTCTTTCGGCATAAATATCTATAAAGAATCTATATATATATATATTTTATTAGATATTTTATTGAACAAAAGAATAAATTGCAAATGCGATATTATGAACGCGCAAATTGTTCGCGCAATTGTATAACATAATGTTTGTGTAATGGAAAAGTCCGTTGGCCTCGTATATTCTATTCTCTTTCCTCCAGTGATTTTATCGCACTTGATTGAATACTATCAAATCGTATATATACTGATCCGGTAGAATAATTATATTAAATAAACATAGTTACATAGCAATAGAAAAGATATATATATAAAATGGAAAAGTCCGTATGTTGGCCTCATATGTTCTACGCTACGCGCACACTTGGCGCGATTCATGACCGCGTATTTTGTTTCTTTTTCCTCCAGTGATTTTATCGCACTGATTAAATACTGTCAAATCATTTAGTCATTTCTTGTTGTTAACTTGTTATAAAATATCTTTATATATGTATATAATTACATATATAATGTTAATAGTGTAAATAATATATAAAACAATGTATATATTATGTTAATAACAAGAAATGACTAATGATTATATATATATAAAATATATATATATATATATATCTTTTTTATTGCTGTTATGTAACTATATTTATTTAATATAATTATTCCAGATCAGTACATGTATTTCTTGGAGCATATCGCGTTTAAATATGATCCAATTACAGATTCTGATACCTGGAAGCTTTATATAAATCTTTCTTCGTTAAAAAAGTGAAAGGTTACTAAATGTAACCGGGCAATCTTTTTGCGGTTAAAAAATATGATATTTGAATTGATATTTAGCAATCGCTTCTTTTTATTACGTATTTACAAGGTTTTGCAAATAATTAAGAAGGAATGGTCATCACTTCTTAATTATTTAATTTATTTAGCTAAACTGCTATCTCAATCTAAATTGCTATTTCAAAGCAATTATCAATTCAGTTTTGACATTTTCAAGATTGTCTGATTTTACTAATGGAAGCATTTATCACTTTAAAAGTTTGTCACTTTAGATGTTTAATTTGTAAAAAATATGTTCAGAAATTATAGCTTAAACAAGATATCTTAGAAATGGTTAGTGAGCAATTTATGAACAACTGTTATGGAGTATCCTAGCTAGTTACACAACGTAAATTGTTTAAAGACAGCTCGTAAAGTAGAATTCTCTAACTCGGGTCTTTACTGACTTTCTACCTTGCATGCCCTAAGCTAAATCAGCCGCTTTCGACTCAGTTCGGTCGTGAGAGCTGTCATTAGCGTGAGCGGGTGTGAACGCGTCCTTGCTTTGTGCCTACAAGAAACGAGATGCCATCGCTCATTACAGGGACTTGTTCTCATTGTTACCGCTTAGTACTCAAGATCACGTTCATGGTCGTTCATGGCTAAGATAAATCTCACGATTTACAATTACACTCTGATCGATTCTGCGGCATAAGGAAAACATTCAAAAGAGAAATGATTTTTTTTTTTCCATAAAAATTAAATCTTGACATTAAGTTGTTTAAAAAGAGAATTAATCAAATGTGTCTAAAATCAGAATTCGAAGATTGCTTTGCAAAATTTTGATGAAACGATCGCTAACGACACAAATTAATAGAATAACTAGTCTGAAATTACGCCTAGTTTAACAATTGGCTTAACGAATAATTAGCTAAGTATTACGAAAGAACGTTTGGCATCAACGAGGTTGCTGCTCCCGGAAGAAAATGATTTTTCAAGCAGTGAACCCATTTTAACGGCAATTTATGCGCAATCACTTAATCGCACGGTAATCAGTGTCCAGTCCGGTCACCCATCGCCGTCATCATCATCGTCGTCGTCGTCGCCGTCGTCTAACGTAATACCCATTTACTCCAGCTCCAGAATATAAGTAATTTCGCCATTTACAATGTTACAAAATTATGCGTTTCTTACAAGATTAGGCACTCGATGGCCCTTACGAAAGTCACTCTCGCCTGTCATCACGTGCGTTTCGCATTACATACTCGTCCGCCTGCGCGCGTAATTATGCCAAATGCCGGACAGAGGAAGACCTCGTCGGCGGAAAACGCAACGACGGAAGTGAGCGCGACCGCCCCCGTTCCCGATGTACTATGATTAGCGAAGCCGATATCCCGATGGTGCATGGAAAAAAGTGCATGCTTCCGCGACCAGGGAAAAAACAGACCTCTGATTAGGCCCAGCCTATAAAGCAACCATTTTCCTATTCAACTGTCCAGTTCCTCAAGTCCGCGTGTCCTACGAGCTCTTCCTTCCGAGGTCGTTTCGAGTTTTTGCATAAAATTGAGCAAACTGTCAATACTCAATTAATCCAACATTGTAAAATTGTTATTTACGCAAGACAATTACCATGCTCATGATAGTGAGTGAAGTGTAAGATCAACAAGTGCGCTGGTATTTAACTATTAAGAAGAAAAGTTACATGATATCGAATTTCCCAGGCATTGAGAAGGTTCGTCTAAAACGCGAGAGTATACAAAAAAGGAAGAGAATGATGTTAATTATTAAAAATCATGATATTACGATCGCCCGCTAATTGTATTTAAATTTTTAAATTTTTTTGAATGAAATAACAACAAGCAAAATATCGATTTTCAAGATGTTCTTCGTGCTACCAAGGATACTCTCTCGTTCGAACTGCATTCTAATTTTGGTAATATCTAATTTCGCGTCCTCGGCGCCTTTGAAATCCTGGAAACGTTCGCCGCACCAAAGCGAGCATGGCTTTTCAACCGTTCCAAAAATCTTAGAGATTCAACTGCCACTCAAAATTTCTACGAAGGAAGATCTGATAGCCTGGTCGAGGTATGTTACGAGTCTGATGACATCGAAGATAAATTTCACGTCAACCACTTTGAAGAACTCGCCGTCGGTCGAGAGGCGCGTTCCCTTTGTGAACAATTCAGGCTTGAAATCGAAGGAGATGATGAAAGAGGCGTCTCTCAATGAGAAACGACAGGGTGTGAACTATCCAGCGCGAAGGCTCAAGGAGCCTCCTGTAGAAAGAGCGGACGACAAAGTGGTCGCTTATCCTTTGCCTGTAGGAGCGATGAAAATGTCGACACCTAGTCCGCAAGATTCCTCTACTCTTCCTAATTTGAATATCAATGGGCCGATTGATTTCGGACAGTACATGGACTTCAACATCGGGAATCCTTTTCAGCAAACTGAACTTGACACCTTTGGAAATTTCGAGATCTTGGCGCAGCCACCTGCAGCCATGTACCTTCCATTACCGCTGACAACAACCAATACTGCTAAATCGTATCAGAACAACAAGAACACTTCCGGTTTTGAAGAGCCAGCGAAGTTGCAGACTACAAGGACTTCCCAGTTTCGCGTCAAGGCTAACAATAAACTCGGGCAGGTGTTACCGACCGACGTGAACGAAGGATTAATTGGAACGAATCTATCGCACATAGGTGAACCTTTGTTAACATTCCCATTTCAGGCACTGATCACGATTACTAAAGAAGTTCCAGAAGCTACGATCTCAAAGACGCAACCGAGGGATTACAGTGCAATTAATATTAAGAATTCTCCGAATGAATTTTCGTCACAGTTCGGAAAAAATCACACGCTTATGAACGAGTCTGCACAAGTTAATGTCGTCCTTAATGATTTTGTAACAGGCACGGGTAGAGCAAAAACCAAGGGAAGCCAAGTAAAGAAAGAGGAACAGAAGAAAGGAGAGCAAAATGCACGCGGGCAGAAGAAACAAAATGAAAAAAAGACGAAAAATGTGAAGAAGAAGAAGACTTCGTCAATAAAGCGACAAGCGTTCGTACTCGGTGATTTGTTAAGAACATTGGGTATTCTGAGAAAATTGCCAAAAAATACCACTGAGATTAATGTCGCGACACCCGTACTCTCTATTTTGAAAGGCACGAACACGCAAAAGATACAAGTAGCCTTCGAAGAGGTGAGTAGGTCACAAGCAGAGTAATTCTAAATGCAATAATTTAAATGCAATAATTTATGTAAATGTCAATAATTTAAATAATTTATATTTAAATTAATGAGCACAAAAAAAGGTTCTATGAGATGATAAATTTATTATACTTGGAAAGGAAAAAAAGTATGTTAGCAGATAATTTCTGAAAAGAAAAAAACTAAATTGCTTCGCGTGTCCGCACTTTGGCATTCTTCAAGGTTATATTCCAATTCTTTTTAAAATATCCTATCTTATTAAACATCTATCTTGTATTTTATAATATCTCAAATTCTTTTACATAATTCTTTTACATAAAACAGATGAAAAATAAATTAAATATTAACGGTGATAAATATGAAAAAAATTGTGCAATTTCTAATTTATAATCAATTGCGCAGATTGCCATATTTTAAACCTGCGAGGACACATTCTACTCCATAAATATGTATGAAAATATTTTGTTAACATATCCATAAATCAATATTCTCTCTTCAATTTATCTCACCAGATCTAGTGATGATTAACGAATTCTTAGCTTTTATTGCCGAACGCGTTAGGTATTCTACGAGTTAGCACGTGGCTTATAAAGGTTCAAAGATTCCGGATTCGAATCCCTATTCCGGTCCAAACAATATTTACAAGCAATGGCTCTTCTCTACGGAGATCTGGCAGACCGCCTAGAGTAATTCTGCCGAAAAAAAAAAACCCCTATAATTGATTCCGTTCGGAACCGGCGTTAAACTGTAGATCCCATATATTCGTGTTAACACTACGGATATGTGCAGGGGACACCTGAAAGACGGCGTAAAGCGTTATATCCTTAAGTGATACAAGTTGACACAAGTACCATTTTATCTTTGTTATTGAATTACCAAGAAAGATATTTATTTTTTTTCAATTTATTTCAACAAACAAAATTTTCAAGCAAGGAGATCCGGCTCGGCTTATATGCCCCTTATTTTCTCATTTTTAATTATTACAATTTTTTTTAAAATAATAGTAACAATAATATTAAAGTTATATTTACGTATTGTATATTTACAAAATGATTGATGTAACAATATGTGTTCACTAAAAACATTGCTAGTTAAAATAATATAATTATTTGTTTCAGACACCACCACCTCTTCCTTCTCGAGAAAGACGCAACGAAACATTTCTAGCGCAGCAATTAGATGTACGCGGTTTATTTTTTTTTTATTTATTATAAAATCATTTTGTGATTATCATAATGTTAGATATTTTACAGGATGATGATGATAATGATGAAAACGAGGAGACTGAAGAGAATGAAGAGAACGACGAACAAATGGAAGCGCAACTAGACGATGACGACGACGAAGAAGAAGAAGAAGAAGGTGGATCTATACAAACTATACTCGATTTATTACCAGTAGCTGCACCGATTCTTGAAGACCTCAGTGATGTAGGAGACATTGACGAATTTATATATATGCATAGCTAAGACATTTGAGATTCAAATTATATTCGTGTTGTTTGCGCAAAATATTTGATTGTTACACATTAACGAATAAAAATATCATATAAAAAATAATAAGATATGTATATTTTATGTATATGATTAAGTATATGTATATTATGTATGTATATGATTATGTATATTTTAGCCAGAGTCCGATGTCGATTTGGCAGAAGTGCTTCAAGCCGCAATTCCTCTTCTCGAAGGACTCTCCGACGTAAGATTAAAATATAATGCTCTTTCCTTCTGTCTTAATATTATTCGTAGAAATTAATTACATAACGTAAGAATGGAAACATTTGTTCTCTTCTAGCCAGATGAGGAGGGAGGAATTGATATTCCAGGTGTCTTGGTGCCACTTTCCCAACGACTCAGCGAGGTAAATTTACCATATAATAATTTCTTAATTTACTCTCTGAATGCCAAAATAACCTCAGGGCCCGGATGGACAAGGTAGCGATTCTGGCGCCATTTTGGGACCTCTTATTCAACTGATAGCACCATTGATCGGACCTCTGGTGGGCCCTCTCATCGGTCCATTGAGTCGTACCAGTAGTGGCGTAAGAATTTTATTTTGTAATATTAAAGAGAGAGAAAGGAAAAATTACATGATTTTCATATAAATATAAAGGTAGAATATAATATAAACGACGATTATTAATTTAATTTTCAGCCCGGTGGCAAAGAAGGATCGGCATCTGCATTAGCAGCAGCATCTGGTCCTCTAAGTCAGGTAATTTATATATTTATAAATTATTTTGTGTATAGTAAGAATTAAACGATTGTAAGATTGTATCCTATGTCTATTCATATTCTTATCAATTTTAGCCGGAAGGAGCATATGGACAATCAATATTGTCGGGTCTTGTCGCCAGTATCACCGCTAGATTAAGTAAAGTACGGATCATAAAATTAATATATTTTTTTATTATTTCAACGGTTTTTTTCTTTTTTACATTTTTCATATTTTATAAAGCTAGATAAATATTTTCTTATTGTTTCTAAATTTCAGGAACTCGCCGCTTCGGCAGGCGAATCAGATGTGAAATCTTTAGTAAGTGCTATTGTATCAGGTGTACTCGCTGGTGCCAGCGCTGGTTCCAGTGGTCAGAAAGGCTACAGTTATAATAAACCTAATCACAGACCGGACACATATTACGCGCCTACAACTTACGGCGGTTACGATTCTTACGCTCAAACCCCAGCAGTAAGCAGTTCTTTTTTTTACGCATGTGCACGTGACTTTAGTTTTATATTAATTAACAATATATTTAATTCACACGTATATACAAATTACAAAAAAATTAAATTAAAACAAGTCAAAAAATAATATCAAAATAAATACACCCTTTATATTTTTATGATACTCATATATATTTTATAATTTATTTCGTAAAATTATCTTCGTCTGAAATGATGATTTTTCGATCGATTTTCCAGGCATCCTCGAGTTCGCTCGACGTGCTTCTTGGGCCTTTAAAAGAAATCCTCGGCGCTTTTCTGAAATTGTCGGCTACGTCGTCGACCTCTAGCGCAAATCTGTCGGGTACATCATCGAGCTCCAGTACAAGTCTATCAGCTAGTTCCTCGCAATCATCACAGGAACCACCTAAACCCACGTATGGTGCACCGACACATCCGCCTTATGCTCCACCGTCTTATGCTCCACCGTCCATGCCTGCTTATAGTCCACCTGCATCCACGAACTCTCCCTATGTGTCATTCGTGCGGAGACAGGTTGCACGGAAACAAATAAAAAGGTTTTGAGTCACACATTCCGTTTGTAGTTTATTATTTTATCGACTTTTTAAAGGATTACTTCGGCGATGGACGATATTTTTTATATAAATGTAAAAGTGCTTAGAATTATACTTTTTTGTCTCGTTAGTTTTTTTTTTTCATTTCAATAGAAAGGCTTCATTTAACATAGATGTCATGGCCATGAAGTTAGCGTATGACCCCCTGATAAATCCTGGTAATCATTTTGCAACGACAAACTCATTACAACAGAAATCATGTGGGCATACCATGTAATAATTCTAGGATAATCTAGCCGTGCAAGGACAGGTGTCACGTCACAGTTGCAAACTTTCGTTTTCGTCTCATTTAAATTGTCATTTCCTGTGAACAATTACATGAATAAACATTGAATAATTCAGCAAAATGTATAAATATATCGCTACATATTGCACTTTAATCGTTGAATCCCGAAATCGATTATAAATTATAATCATTAATAATATAATATATATATATATATATATATAAATTCATTTATTTTTACGCAATAATCGTCAATCAAAATTATTTATGATTATCTTTTACAACTATTAATGACTATTTAAAAATGTTAAATTTGATCTTAGCTAAATTTTAAATGTATTCTTTTTAGTTAAAAAACGTCACGATGATGTAATATATCTGGCGTGAAGAAAGCGGCATTTCTTTTATGCAGAAGGAGATTCTGCATTTGTTTTGTTCGGAAACGCATACGTAAAGACGTATAAAAATGCGCTAAAAAAAGCTAATTATCTGCATGAGCAGTGCAGCAATTACGCATTATCCGGATCTGGAACCGCGTATCCGGGTACATGCGCGTCCGGGATACATATATATATATATATGCAAGAGTCAACAACCGGAAGAAATGGACAAAAGGAGCACTTTGCATTCCTGGACAATTTCTTCGCGTATTCGTCGATTTCACGATAAGTCTAAGCTTAAATGAAGCTTTGAGCAAAGAAGCGTACGCACGGTTGATGGAGAACTGGATCGAATGAGGAAAAACTAGGGCCGGACCTGCGGCGAGACGACATGTAATCGGTGAAATCATATAGGTAGAATTTACGAGTTGATAGGATACTGAGTATACCTATCCCGGATATACGATACGTCCCGGATATGCGAGCGATGAGTTACGTGATTGTTTCTGCGAGCGATGCTATTAATAGTTTTTATCTTGTTTTACTAGGAAGCGATATGACGTTACTTCATATTTTTGTCTCTTTTGTATTAACGACACGGCTATAAATTATCATCGAGACAACGATTTGGCGACCCCTGCGAGCGATTCAAACTTTTATCTCGAGGTGATCGAGACAGTTTCGAGGCGGTATCGAGCTTGGGAAATTTGCTCGTTTTTTCATAAAAGGCCTGTCAAAACCGGTAATTTGCATAGAGATACTTTCCGAGATACTTTCAATGAGGCGTTTTACGACATTAGTTCTCGATTTCTCCGGGATTGTTCTCTTCGTCTTTTTCTCGATATTTTCCGGCTCTGTCTCTGTCACCTTTGAGATATAGCCGACGGGTCAAATGTCCTTCGGCGACATTATGGTTCGACAGGTTTACGCAGTTCCTAAACCAGTGTTTTATGCTCCCGTTTGTCCACCTGTTTCTCCACCTCACGTGGAAACTCCGATTTACATCTTTCTTTACAATTTAACGGGTCGCGATGATGAAATATCGCTTGATATCACATGCTTGTAATTATCGTTTATTTTAATACTCCGTGAATTTAACTTAATGACACATAAAAACGGTTGGGATCTATGCTTGTAATATTGCGTAAATCCCGATTTAATTGCCTGCAGCAACAAATCGACACTTGACTTTTTCGAGTAGTGAAAGTTTTCGATACCCTCGCTCATTATTCAAAAGATTTGGCCTTTGTTCCTCAAACCGACCTCTCGACCAGGACTCCTAAAGTTAACTCGCTTCCAATGGAGTTTCGTAATATTTTTTTTTGTTTACATAGATTTGCACTTGCATCATGCAATAATCACGCGGCATCTACTAATCGTCTGCGTTCAACGATTTCACTTCGACACTGGTCGTATCGTAGATGATAAAACATGAGATCCGACTGAAGCCGTTATGCCAACGGAAGTGAAAATTCTTTAATTAATCGTACTTCTTTCCTGAATATTACGTACCATTAACATAATTTTTGAAAAATCGTAAATGAGAAGATGCGATAAACTCGATACAGCTAATTGATACACGCAAAATAATTCTTTATTTATGTTATATTTTTAAATAATTCTTTTTCTTTTAATTTCTCTATGTTTTGCCATCAAGAAGAACAAAGAAAAAAAGACTTTGTTTCAATTATACAATTTATAATACAGATACAAAAAGAATCACACGTACAATAATAATTTTTTACAAACACGTTGCATTTAATAAACGGAATGGAGCGATCCTTATAAAAAGTTCTGTATGATACTGTTTCTCATTTTGTCAAATTTTTATCATGTCCAAAAAACCTTGTTAATTCTCTCAATTGCTGCTTCAAGTGAAAGCACCGTTTCACTTTACCTCATCTATGAAACCTTCCAGGGTTATACGGAAGATTATTCTCTTCCGGCAATGCCAAAACGCCAATGTTATGGTGCTTCTTCGATAGTACGATAATATATTGACATAAATTGACCATAAACGTCAACAAAGCAACAGCTTTCAGAAAAACATAGCAATAAAATAAATTAGCAATAAATTTTAACCAAATGATGTTTATTTAATTATAATGAGATTATCAGAAAAGAAAAAAAACAGGAAAAACAGTAAGTTTAAATAAACGTTAATTTATAAAAGAAACAAGAAAAAAGCATAATCATATAAAGTAAATAAAGTAAATAAATATAAATGCAAATGTATAAAGCATAAAAATATAAAGTACATACATATTTTAACATATCGAAAATTACATATCTGACAATTTGTCTATTTATAAAAATTATACTAAGCATGCGAAGTCCAGTCATTGGCTAAAGTTCACGTGACATCGAAGGCCGTAGTCACTTTCTATCGCAAAAAGAAAGTGAAACTTTTCATAGACTCGAGGTCGTTAGTTGACCCTCGTAATGCTTTGCCAAGACTGAAAGACATTCCTATTCGCGACATACGGACGCGCATATACTCATTTATATTACGCAACCGATTTATTTCACCGATTACTTCGATAAGATTCGTATTTATATTAGATGGAACACAATTTATGTAATATATCATAGAAATTTTATTTTTTTTAAGAAATATGAAAACGTTCAATCGTTGCATTATTATTGTTAATTGCCTATTTTTATTTTGACTTTTAATTGTGTCAGATTAATTAAATCGAATATTTCAATGAGATGCGTATTCATACTGGATGGAACAATTTATATAACATATCATAGAAATTGTATATTCTTCTATAAATATAGGACTTTAATTATTTGTAATTGCTTGTTTTCATTTTAATTTTTAATTGTGTAAAAAGTGACTACCTACGATTTCCATCTCGGTGCCATTCCTTTTTTGCAAGTACAAAAATTAGATGTAAATATCAGTCAATAGAATTGGGTCATATTTCTCTCGGGTTAATATTAAGCTTACGTCACGTTATCATTTCAAGCGTATAAAATTAAAACGAGAGCCACTTTCATCTTCGTCATGGGAGGTCGTTGACACGACGTGCGATTAACAGCTAAGCTTGATTGATGCTAGTTACTATATATCGGCCGTAAAAAAATTAACTGTTGCTTTTGTGCTGGTAGACGCACGTCGTTTAATAATTCACAATAACTAGAACACGGTTTGCCGTTCTGGAGAAACGTTAAAATAATTACATACTGAGCTGAGTTAAACGGTCAATTAAATAGAATATCGACATATTATATCTTGCATTATATTACAAAGAAAAATAAATGCTGAAACAACATATTATTTTAAACGTTAGTCGATAACGTTAATCGATAATCCATTAGCGTAGCATATTTGTGCTATTGGTTACGGGGGTTTGGCTAATAGTGCAGTTTACAGTTTATTGTGTCAAATCACATTGCGAGATGCGCATTTGTTTATCTGGAATAAATGGATCACGTAGAGGATCGTGACCTCGATTCCGACGCCTTCAGACCTCGAAGATCGTCCGATCTTACTCAAGAATCGAGTGGATCGCCGTGGTCTAGAATTTCAGAATTGTGCAAGAAAGGGATTAAAAAAACTTGATATCGTCGCATGCGTCCATCGATAATTAAGAACAAATTATACATAAACTACTAACGGATATACATGTCAGTGTGACGATCGATATATAATTTACACAGATAATCATCTTCCTTGGTATTTCGATCAAAAATCTGTCATTTAATAGATTTTTCTTTGATTAATTTATATTATTGATTGACAATTTCGTAAGTGTTTACTCGTGAAGACGCCCATATAATTTACAGACAATCTTCTTTGGTATTTCGATCAAAAATCCTTAACTTACAGCATTAAATAGATTTTCTTTGACTGATCTATATTTTTCGAAAATAGGTAAATTCAAAGTGAGAAATATTGCAAAAGCTTTTTTTTACAATGAATGAAATATTAAAACTATAAAATATAACAAAGAATAAAACATTAGAGTAAGCTATTATAATTTTTTGTTTAAAGACAAGAAAACATTAAAAAGTACGGTCCAGTAAAATTGTCAATAATATTGTAAAAGTAATTGTCCAATGTATACAATCGATAATCATAAAAAAATGAATGGAAATAAGATTGATACCATCGGATAAAATAAAAATGGATCTGACAACTCATTATCAATGATAATTTGTATTTTACTTACTCGCGAAGACGTCTGTATAATTTAGTCAGATAATCGTCTTTCTCAGTATTTCGAAAAAAAAAGTCCAGTTCAACTTTTATCATTTAATAGATATTCTTTGATCGATCCTTATATCTTTGACCGGCAATTTGTATTTTATTCACTCGCGAGAGCGCCGGGGCGGCCGCGATACCTTCGGGCCGGTGAAAAGTCTCGTCGCTGGTTGATCCCTCGGGTTACGAGCGGTCGCGCTTGCAAAATCACGAACTGGAACAGACGGAATTGAATGGATACACCTCGTTGCAACGGGGCATTCCGCGGGCTGCCCCGCGCGAGAGATGCGGCGTACGTTCGCGCGCGTAATTGCACGTGGCGCGATTTCGTCACGTGGGATTGACTTGGCAGTGTCAGCTGTCACGGCTAGAACGATCTGCCTCGGACAATAATTACCGAAGAGTCTTGCAGCGCGTCACGACGCGCTTTGCATCATCTGCCGACCGTGCAGCGGTAGTTACGCAAATAAAGGAATGCTGTGATTTGCATAGTTTTGTTTTTTTTTTTTTTTTTTACGTACAGACGCCTGCTTTGGACCCGACGAGGATGTGAATCGCGTAAAAACACGGGCTCTGAGACGACACACTTCTCTGAACATTTTACAAAATGTTCTGGTTTGTAAAGGGATTTCTATAACAGTTGCGAGTTAAACGGTGCTCTATTCAGCAGTAGCTGTCAATATTTGATTTTTACATTTATTACTTAATATCATTTCTTACGCTTTTTCATATGTTAAGGTTTTCTGAATTACAAAGTATATTTAGAAATTGATAAGTAAGTCAAGCTTGTGCAAAGCAGAAAGGAAAGTCAAGGTACGAGAAAATAAAAATGTTTTCAAAAAATTGTAAATAATTTATTAAACAAAAGAAATAGTGGATTTTTTATGACGTTTTGATTGTATTATCTTTATTAGCCAAATTAATTTCAAATAATTACATAATAAAAAAAACGATGCCAATTAATAATAAAATAATAAATTAAACAAATACAAATGACAACCATAAAATAAATGAAAATAAGCAAAAAAAAATTAAAAAAAGTAAATTCAAAGTCAGAAATATTGCAAAAATTTTCTACAATAAATTAAATATTAAAACCATAAAAATATGACAAAGAATCAAATATTAAAGTAAGCTGTCATTTTTTATTCAAAGATGAGAAGACATTAATTCCAAAATATAATTTATTAAAACTGTCAATAATATTGTAAAAATAATTGCAATGTCCAATATATATTCGATTTTTTTCTGTTTGAATGAATGCTAAACTTCACAATTCTCAATCTTTAATTCGTAGATTGACACAGAAAAAGCAAGATATAAAATCGATAATTTGAGAGATTATAATAAGTATTATAATTATATTCGTTTGTGAAATAATCATAAAAAAGATGGATGAAAGATTGATGCCATCGAATAAAATAAAAATAAATCTTGCAATTTATTATCTTAATCTTAATATTTTATTCGTATTGAATTTTGTATATAACTCTAAAGAAAATAAAGAAAAATTGTTTCACAAACGAATATAATTATATTTATTATAATCTCTCAAATTATCAATTTTATATCTTGCTTTTTCAAACTACGAATTAGAGATTGAGAATTGTGAAGTTTAGCATTCATTCAAACAGAAAAAAAATTAAAATTAAGATTATATGATTGATTAAATTCTAATCTTCAGTTCGCAATTCTTAATCTCCAATTTATCTGATGCAAGCTTAACGCCATAATGACAATATTAATTATAATAACTCAATAATGTTTCCTAATAGCATCCTGATGCAGAGCTATATGAGCTTTAGGATCATACACGGAAGCCATATGTTATGCCGAAGATATGCTAAAATTATCACCTCTTAGTTACGAAACAGTAAATATCTTACCAATATATATAGATTACGCAAATGCAGTATTTCAACAGCGGCACGATGATCTAAATCTAATCGAAACCTGCTATTATCTGGATTGCGCGATTATTATCTCTTTATCGCCATTGGCCACATATCTACATTTTATTGCGGACTGCCTACTACACTCTTTTCTTACACAAAGTAGAAAATAGCCGAGATTGAATCTCCGTCATGCACTCTCACCTCGCTTAATGCGCGCTTGTTCAAATGTAGTTATGAAATGAACTTCCGGAGCAAAATGTGCGACACGGACTCTCTCCTCCTTCCTCCTCCCCCCCCCCCTCCCTCCCTATATCAGTATTATTTATAATGAAAATAGATTTAATCAACGTTTATTACGTCCAAACTTGTTATATATTAATGCAACGTTACCGTATTATTAGCCGCCGGAGATAAAGCAATCGATCGCGTTTTCTTTATTGAGAAAGTCAAAGCTGACGGAAGGATAAAGGTAGACGGCATTGCGAGATAGATGCGATCGACTTTTACTCTCGTTCACGCGAAGACTCGTGCGAGACATGTCGTGTCCATTATAATAAATTTCTCGGTGCATGCCCGATACGGCTGACGACGGCTCGGTAGAGGAAGTTTCGTAGGCACAGCCGGTCGGAGAAAGTAAAGAACGATATTTATTCGGGTTGCACGACCGGGATTGAACAACGGCCGTCGCGTCATCGAGCGGCTCGCGAACAAATGTTCATGCACGCACGCACGCACGCACGCACGCACGCACGCACGTACGGATGACCCGAACACGTGCTGTACCATTACATAAACTCGATTGGAAAGAAAGGAGAAATAAATTAAATGCCGCGATATTTATTACTCCGTAATGCTATATGCCTCCTTGCGCATTTTGAAATCATCTGCCCACATTAAATATCTTTCCTTAAATTTAAGAGGACTAAAAATGAGGTGACAGGTTTACCGTATTGTGCAATGTACAACTGGTGTATTGTGTAAGCGCGAAGACAATTACAATTTCTTTATTATTATTATTATTATTATAATTTGCTCGTTATATCATCTCGTTAGCACTTCATAAAATAGAATAATAAGCGCGCTCTTTAAGAGTATACTATTTTTTTTACATAACATCTCTACTTTCTTCTCGTATTTCGCTCCGCGCGCGGGGCGTCTGTGAAATTTCCACGAGGCACTTTCGTTCGGTGTATTTCCCAAGTCGCAAAACGTCACGTCATAAATTCCGAGAAATATGACGCGCGTCAGAGACACGAGATAAAATTGCCCTACGGAAATCCGCGGGTAACGGCCGCTGCTATTCGCGCCACGTCTACTTCCGGTCGATGTGTCGATCGATCAATTCAGCAATCCCATCATCGATCTGTCAACGTGCGAGGGGCAACCTGTCTTTTGCGCGCGCGCGCGCGCGCGCCTGTCACGCGACGCGGAAATCGCTTCGCCGTAAATCTCCTCGCCCACCGCGTCATCGTCGCGCCGCCACGACGACGGTGACGCGTTCGTTTCGTGCGGCCAATTTCCCCGTTGCAACTTTCTTCGCGGACGGCGAACGCGTGGCCGCTCCTCGCCTTCGTTCCGGCAGATAGTCACAGCCGCGTATCAAAGTCCCGATCGATCGGCCGCGTCGCGAACAACGGTCCTCGGTTTCGGCGTTTCGTTTCGGGAGTTTCTCCCATGTAGACCACCCACCCCCTCGCGTCCCTTCTCGCGTCGCAATCGATGATCGAGAGGACGTTCGCGGCAAAGGTCGCGCGAGTGATCGACCGCTCGGAGCGATCGCGGGGATCATTACATCGTCGAGTGGTGAACGTCACCGGTGAACCGTTACGACGACAGTTTCAACGAGTGTACCGTACTTTGATTTTGGGATCGGCGAGATCAAAGATTGTTGTCCGAGAGGAAAAAGAACAATTTGGGCTGAACGTTCGTGGGACAGAGGTAGACGGAACTGCAAGGTAGACATAAAAGCGAAACGAATTAATAAACAATTATCGAAAGGGAAGTAATCTGTGTTAATTACACACCTACCTCTGTAATGATAATGGTATAGTACAATAGCACGAAAATTTTTATCTGTACAACAGGGTATTATTAATGAAATGAATACATTAATATCATCTTCGTGACGTTTAAATTCAATTTCGCAAAGGCACGCTTTATGTGATACATTTCATTTATGTGCCTGAATTTGTCGCATAACGATTCTTATTAGCCGATTGGATAAAAAAAAAAAACGTATATTATTCTTACTGATTTGTAGGACAAGTGAAAATTAGAAATCGGCCATATTGATGGTAAGGATAAATTGCCCGATGCTTTGGCAAGAAAAATCGAGCTTCGCGACCCGAGCAGATCAAACATGAAATTTAGCCGCGTCTCGTATACGGCCGAGTGCATCGCGTGGAATTGTAGATTTATCGTTGACCGAGGAGAATCTTGACAAACGTGTCAGAGAGAAACATCGCGAAAGTCAACGTTCATGCATATTTGACTCTTGTCTTTTCGACTCGTAAAACTAAATATTCTTAGAAACGACTTGAAATTTTTGCACTTTTCTGCCGGTAGGCAGAACGGCAAAAGATGATCGCGAGATTGAACCTCGTTTCAATAAAACCGTACAGTGGTAGGTACACAGTTACAACATATTAGCATCTTCTGAAATATGTACATTGTTGTTCAACGCGCGCGCGTTTACATATTGGCGTAAGTTATACTCTCTCATTCGTATGCACCGCACACTAGAACGTTCGACGCAATATTTAACATGCATTTAGTATTATTATAATCGTATTAATATGTAGCCTCGATCTTATAGATCCGAAGATACATATTAATTACGTAGAACAAAAAATTACATACACACAAGGATATTGCTATTCCCCCGTCTCCTTCTCTCGACAATTATTCTCGTTTGAACTTTTTTTTTGTAGAATTCCACCATAATTTATGAGAGAAGAATAAACTTTCAGAGGAAGAGAGATTGTACACGAGCATGTACAGAATTACTCACGTTATTCGATTTCGCGTTTCTCGAAAAGGCGTTGAACCGATCCATTTTTGGGGAATGAGTCGCCCACGTGGTTTTACGTAAGCCGGACTTTACGTGGCTCGCGTGGGATTTTCTGCTCCCCTTTTTACTTTCATCCTGTTGGAGGATTACCGAGATGCATTACTCTCTCTTCCATTGGAAAGTCACTTGTTTCTTCGGTTGCGGTCGAGATGCCGTGTTCGTCTGCGCGCGTGTTCGCCGCGTGGCGCCACTTCACGAGCGGCTGGATGGTCTGACCACAAGATAATCTTACTACTTGGACGCCGATAAAACTACAATGCACATCTGAAATAATTGATTTCAAACAGATATTCACAAACGCTTAAATATTCGAATATATTTTAGATGAAAAATGGTTTAAATGCTTTTTCCTCATTTACTACGGATTGTATTTGATATCTATGTATTTGTTAGAGGGATAAATAGTTTTATTACTTTAATAATAGTTTTATTACTTAACTAAGGGATAAATAATTTTATTACTTTACTAATAGTTTTATTACGTAACTTAATTATATGTAATGTAAATTTTATTAATAATTCTTTATTTGAAAGTCAAATTGTTATTAGAACATTTAAGAAGATTACATTGTTGTGTCCGTTTTAGAAGACTTGATTTCTTCATCATGCGGCGCCTATAAATGGCGAGCCTAAACGACGACGAATGGAATTCATTGAGCAATTGTCCTAAAAAAGATAACGGTCATCAAAGAGAATTTATGCATAGAATAGTTTATAGTCCTTTTAACGGTGTTATAAATACAATCTTAAGTGCATTTTGAAAGTGCATATCTCCAAATTCTTCGCATTCTCTTTGATGTTTCTTTTAGAAGAGAATAGATTGACTAGATCAATCAATAGATTGAAATTTTCATGTTATTATGAAAACATATAAAAATAATATCGATATATCTACAATAGACTTTAAAATATCAAAATAAAATAACTTGAATATAAGGTGCGATAAATTAATATTATTTTTTTAATTAAATTACGTTAAAAGTTACGTGAATGAAAAACTAACTTAACTAACTAAGTTAAAAGTTATGTTAAAATTAAATTAACTTAAATTAAATTAAAAGTTAATTTTAAAAAGCATTATTTATATTAAGTTAGAATGCTATAATTTTTTGACATTAAAAATATTTTTAAAAAACTTACAATGTGGATTATCAAATAAATTTAATATTTTATTTAAATAAGTTTATATAACAAAGAAATAACAAAGAGAGAAGTATTATTTTTTTTTTATATGATATTTTATAGTTTTTTCTTTTACAAATTTTTTCTTTCACATAAGTGAACTTTTAATTTAAGAAAAAAGTCAATAAGTTAAAGTTTATGTTTTAAAAATAACTAGTTAAAGTTATAAATTAATTCATTTAAAATTAACATTATTAACTTTTTAACTTTATTAATTAATTTTTAACTAATTACTACCCAACCTTGCTTAAATGTACAACTTGCAAGTTCGTTTGTCTAATCCTGCTCCTCAAGATAAGCGTTAATTGGCCTAAGAATCGTTATTGCAAGTTACACCGACGTATGCAATATACGCGAATATCTTTTCCTTCCTGCATGCAATCGAGAAGAGAAAATATCCGCAACAAACACAAGGAATGTTCATTAGCTAATTTTAATTAATTACCACATTGCTATATTTTTCAAAATTGCAAGTACAATAAAGTCGAAATGATAGATTATGGTCTTTTAGATTATGGTCAAGGTGAAAAGAGAGTTCATCTTGATTAGCTCTTAGGATCAAACCAGTGAACACGATAATTGCAAACGAAATCTACTGTGTATAATGATAATGAGCGATTGTGAAGATAGAAATAATTAATATAACATTAAAGTAAATGCGCGTGAGGTGAGAGATTTCCTCAGGCACTTGTTCCAGTTTCTTAACTTTTGTTGGCAGATTATCAAACGTTACGACATGATGCAAATATTCCAATACATCATCTCTCCTATTTGTGGTTTGTAGCATAACGTACTAAACATATTTTTACAACATGCGAAATAACGAAGATAAACGGCTCCATTTAAAGAAACTATTTGTTACGTAAACTAGATTCTTCAATTTTGCACGAGACAATCTCAAAAATGGCTTGAGAAAGCGAAAGTTGAGACGTAAATCAACAAGCTTACAAAAATTACGCAACGAGAGCCTTAATATATGCATAATACACATGCAGATTCTCGTAGATATTCACACAGCTAAATAGGAGTTGTAATACCAAAGATGATTTTAGTCGATTCTTTTTGAAGCTATTATTCTTACACCATATACTGGATTATGCGTTCCGCTGACTCCCATAGCACCCGCTGTAGGCACATTGAACAATACCAGAAGTTCCCATGTTTATTTAACACTTAATACCTCTCTTCTTTTATTACTTTGGAGAAAGATGATATTATAGTCATCGGAATAATCAACGATATCGTAATCCCCGATTTCTCAGGCTTTATTGTTGCTTACGCGCGAAGCGTGACGCTGGGACTGGCCATTAAAATTATTGTTAAACAAAACATTGTTAACAAAAGAAAAAACTCTCCAAAGGAGAGGTTACTTCGGAAGCAACCCGTCAGGTCTGTTTAGACTTAGTCTTAGTGGTTTCGTCATCAGGAGGCGACATTTTCGAATCGCGCATTTCCCTCGGCAGACGTAAGCGTCGGTAATTTCCAAGATTACGACTGTGTGGTGCTTTAGTAGTTCAGCAGAGGTGTTAGCCAAGCGAGGACGAAACAAAGTGAAGGTGGAGGGTGTCTCATTGGCGAGCGCTTTGGATGATGCTGAGCTTGGTTTCGCGAATCGCGAGTGAATTGGAGAGCGCCCCACCTGCGAAAGGCGAGGCTCGCACGGTGCACGATTCTCGATTCTCGAAGGGGCACACATGCTCGCCTTCGTTTCCCCTTCGGGCTCCGTAAGACATCGGGACCTCCTTCACCGTGGTCCTCAAACGAGCCTCGCACTCCGCCAGGTACACAGCTCACGCATTCGCTCGCTCGCACGCGTTCGCCGCACCGGCACTCCGTAAGTCCACGTCGATCCCTTCACATTACGTTTTGCTTTGGCTGCCACGTGACACTGACACGCTTATTGCTATATAGGATATCCTAAACGATTTTTTTTCTTTCAAATCTTGTACGCATCGAGGGAAAAATCCGACTGTCGACTTGAGGTTGATAAATCGAACGTTACATTAAGCACTTTTTATAACACCGTTTTATTTCCTCTATACTTTTCTCACATATTTCTTTCTCTCTCTTATTATATACTCAGGTGATTATTTTACGAGCTAGTCGCCTGTCTGTTCCTGAAAATTATGGCGTATTATTTGACCTATCTTATCTTACGCTTGTAACTTGTAACAATTAGCTGAAATTGAAAGCCACTTGTTACTAATAAGCCACTTGTTACTAATAATAATTACTTGTTTATTCTCTGAGATTGCGACATGTTATATAGTTAACAATATTTATTTAAATTTTTCAAGAAATTGTTTATCAAAGAGTAAATTCGATTTATATATTTATATATCTCGCATTTACATAACACGTTTGCCCGCATCTGATTTTCTTTATTTCATTAATCGCACGATATTGTTTTCAATATCAATTATTGATTATTTACAAAAGCGGAATCTGATTAAAAATCAGTTTTTAAAATGCTTCCAAGCTCACGCTCAGGCATCCTTTCACTCGAACACTCAAGATTTACTTTCGATTTTATTACTACCGTCTTGTCAGACAGCTTTTTATTCATACAGACTGAATCGAAACACGTCGACCAAGTGAAGAAGACATAATGCGGGTGTTATGTGCATTCTGTGGACTGTTCTTGGCCATTGCCATTGTCAATTGCAGTCCTGTCGTCAAGAGAGAAGCGGCAGAAGAAGATCTCAGTCCGCTCAATGAAGTAAGTCCTTTACTTTATTTTTTAAAGCGTCAAAACGACGAGATGTTAGACATTAAATGTTCTCTAATCCTTCTAGTTTAATTATACATTAAAAGACTATCGGATGATAGGATAGATCACTTCAAATCTTATTTAGAAAGTAAGAGAATGAAATGGAAGAAGAGCTGCGATCACGCATTTCGCTTTAATGAAGTAGTTTGAATGCTGAAGCACTTGCAGAAAGCTATTGTCGAACTCTCACGTCGTGAATGGTGGTTTTACCAATGTTCCATCGCACCGCGCGATTTCTTAGAGATAAACTTTTGACAGAAAATACAGTCGAATTTTCGATATTTCTAAAGTGTAACCGACAAGAATTTGACGAATTTATTTTATGCGACGTCTTTCCTTTCCCTCTTAAGCGCAACGCATCGATTAAACGCGTTATACCTTCACTCGACCTAGAGAACGAATACCTCGTAACATTTTACTTTATTATAACTATTAACCGAGATCAAAAAGACAAATATAACGTTCGACAACGAGAGTGAAAGCAAGCATCGCAAAAATTGCTTATTCGATAATTCCGCGTTTAGGAAGTATGCAACCGATAGAGGAGAAGTATCTCGGTCGTAGCGTCAAATCCTGTAGCTTACATAAATATTTATCTTTAGATTAATACAGGGGAAAGTCTTCACTTTATCGCCGTGGCTTCCTCTTCCTTCTCATTAACGAGAGAAGATTCTTCAATTTTGGAAAAGGAATTCATATCTATATGTTAATGTTTATTTAATCTGTATCGATTATGAGGAGAAAATTTATTCGTCGTAGAGGGAGGAAGGAGGAAGACACATCTCGTAATCGAGCTCGTATATATTAGCTAAATGCGCTAAATGCTGGACATGTTGAATGAAAGAAGAAGAGAGAAAGGGGAGATAGAGGATAAGGGGTACGCGAAAAAGAGAGAAACGTGATCTCGAAGAACGAGTCGAAGAGTGAAAGTAGTCGCTACCTGTGCGAGTTCAAACGAGCGCTAGAGACAGATGCACGCGTGTAACGAAATTTCTTTAAAACGTCGCGTCGGTCAATGGGCAACGCGTTGTTATCACCATGGCGATCACGTGTCAATGTAACCGCGATGTGATTCCGCTCGAGCAATAACCATAACACGTATCGACCTCGTTGGTTTAGAATGAAAGCAGGGTTGCGTAAGATAGGATTGCATGCACGTACGAAATTACGGTCTTAGAAAACTATGTAAATATCGCGCGAAGCGTAGCAGTTGTAATAATTTTTGGTTTTTTTTTTTGCCAGTTGTAGATACTCCGTAAACAGAGCGAGTAATCTCGATAATATTGACACAACACAAAACACAATGATAATTGTTTAGCAAATTACAGCGTAATTTATGATAAAAATTTGAACGAAAAAAAGTTCTTCCTGCAATAACATGTTACAATATCATATATTGTTTTTCTCCATTTAATTTTTAGTTTTAATCTTTATGCTATATCTGTTAAGTAACTTATATGTCAGCGAAGAAGCTAATTTTATGATCTGCGTAGGTCTATGTAATTGAAGCTGATGACGAAGCGGCGGCCGATGGTGAAAGAGGCGACAGAGATAAGAGAAAAATTGGCATCAAGCTTGGAGTATCGAACGGCATTATTAACTTTGTGTTTGACGTAAGAATAAGTAGCTGGTTTTCATTGTAAAATCTTTTCTCTCTGCCTGTTCTTTTATATAACATGTTAAGATCTCATATAAAAGATATAATTAATAATGATATAATAATAATGATATAATTAATAATGATAGATATTAATTAAGATCGCGCTTGAAATGTAATACGATATTTCCAAGGCTAAAAAGTATTTGTTTTTACTATAAATATTTTGTTTTTACTATAAAATATTTAGGTATAATATTAAATTCATCTATCCATTTCTTTTAACAAATACATATTTTTGTAGAAAGTGGACTCCTTCTTAGATTCAAAGACGAAAGCGCTCCATGTTCTCGATGAATCTAACAAAGCAAAAAATGCTGCTTTCGGTATCGATTCCAAACACTCGGCAACACAGGAGTTCATCAATCATTTAGCGGCTCAAAAGATTCAGGCTGCAACAGGTAGCATTGGACCTCTCATAAATAGCGCGGCAACATTGTTCTCAGGTGCCTCGGCTGGCTTCTCGAAGGCAATAGCCTCGAAAATTGGATCCTTAAGTTCAGCTTCCGGTGGCCTTTCCGGTGGCCTTTCCGGTGGTCTTTCCGGTGGCGGTGGTGAGGGTAAGATCATAGTATTTTTTACAATTTGTTTCTTCGACCAATTTTTAAATACCCTAAAGTTTTCTATAGGAATAAAAAAGTGGAAATTATAGAAAAAATATAGCGATCAGATTTCTGACTAGGAGAAACTATTATATTTATATATATATATATATATTTATAATTTTATATTCTATATATATAATTAATTATCTTTATTCATATTCTTTAAGGCCGTTTACTTTTATTGTTCCCATTTTATCACATTTGATTATTTCTCATGTAAATTGCAGGGCACGCGGGCAGTGGAGCACCCTCCGGCTCAGCCATTATCGGCAATCTCTTGAGTCAGAAGATCACCTCCTTGTCGACTCTGAGTCAAGGTAGCAGTTTAGGTAGTTTAAGCGGTGGTAGCGGTGGTAGCTCCGGAGGTGGTGATTCTCACAGTGGAAGTGGTAATGCCGGTGCAAGCGCCGGCGCCGGCGCTGGAATCAATCTCGGAGCCTTCGCCAATCTGGCAGGGGTAGGATTGCAATGAGTTTATTTTACTTTTTTATCTCTGTATAAACCGTGAATTCCTTTTTTTTTTACTACACTTTGAAGTCCTATTACATGTCGCCTGTTCTGGTGTCTGATACGTAATGCAAGCTGTGTCTTCTCTGGAACGCTGAATGCGTCTTCGTAAGGAAATCACTGAAAACACGGATTTTTCGCGACGGTTTTTCTAGAAACTGTCCGCTGAAACGACTTTTACTTAACAAACTTCCGACTGTCTGCGACTGTTGCTTGTAAGACTATCGTTATTCGCAATGATAACATTTAACAACTACAGAAGACAAATGCATGGTTTTTGCGAAAACATTATTTACACATTTCGGAATTTAGTATCATATCACAACAGCACTTTTTACTTTAATTTTCATAGATTTTCTCCTTTTATAAAATTTTATAAAATGTATCTTTTGGTTCAGTTCGCATGGCTGTCGTTATTATTAACTTTCTAATACTATCTTACCCATTAATTTTCCGTTTTGTAAGAAAAGGTATCTAACAAAGTTACTAATGCTAATGGAACATTATATCTTATAACATAGAGCATTTTCTAACTATTTCTACCATTATATCTGATTCAGCAATTCTTTTTGTTTCCTTGAAACGCTATCGTCATAAAGAATCTAATTAAATACAATAAAAAACTACTTCTCCATTCCCATCGATATGCTTCATTACACCTCCGGCTATGCGACTACTAATTAATGTTGCCGAGATATTCCCTTTAACCTCGGAAGGCGCCTTCACGAGAACGAGGCCTTCCGATTAGATTATACGTATCATTAAAGCAAGTATTGTACACAAACAGTACGATTATACGCCACCACGAGCGGCGTATTACGCGGCTTAAATGGCGGGCGGGATAAAACACGGGATGCTGATGGGACGCGGAGAAGGGACGTTTGACTGCGGATTTTCTCACCTGGACCAACGAGCAGCGGAGAGCGCGGAGCTTAGGAGAAGAAAACCTCGGAAAAGACAAAAGCGACAGACAACGAACGAACGTATTAAATGTATCACCAGAAAATGCGGAAACGAACAAATGCGGATTTTCATATGGGATATGTGGACGTTCCATATAAAACGGAATGTGAATTTCTGTTTTTAGCTGGGCTGATAATCGGCAGAGCTTCCTTTCTCTCTCCCTCGCCAGAAGCCTTCTTCCTCTCTTATAAAAAAATGTATCCGTATTTAGAGAGCTCGAGCGAAAAATGAAAGGAAAGAGAGAAAAACGAAATTCTCCGGGAAACGCTCTCCTGAGAAATCATCAACGGCTTCCGGCTGAATCGTGTGGGCTGCGCTATGTCTAATATAAATTATAGAAGAACTAGCGGTGTCGCAATTGATTTGCCATTGCGAAAGCTGTAAATAATCTAAGAATAGCCTTTAGAGGTGGAGAGGACTAGCTGCAATGTGTAAATGATGTAAATAGCGCATCCAAATGCTCCACATAAACAAAAAAAAAAAAGAAAATCATTATTAATATAAAAGATGGTGTGATAATATTGATGTCAAATAAATTTACAATTATATTTTTGTCTAACATATGCGAAAAAATTATAGAGTATCGTGAAGTTTCTAATGAAACCTTTCCTTCACAAATTCCTTCCTCTTCCTTTGCACCTCTAAAATTTATCTATAGTCACTTTCTTATGTAATTTTTAACTTATTATTATTATTTTTTTATATTGATTGGAGATCAGTTTCATATTAAAGAACAAGAATACTTTTTATCTCTTATAAATATCGTTATACATCAAGTATCTTTGTAAGAACACAATTTTTTTATATAAATATATAAATACTATCTATAATTAGAAAAAAATTTTACTTGACTTGAAATAAATATAAAATACAATTGTAAGCAATAAATACATATAAAATTAGCTGATAATTCACGTCACTTCTCCTTCATGTTTATTAAAACCATAAAATGAAAAAAGATCATAAAAAAAAATAGATATATATTACGTATACATATGCAATTGATGCATACTTTCACTTCCATATTTTCCCACGTGATACCGTTGCTATTTTTTTAATAAGTAATGAAATATACATACGTAATGAAGCAATCTCGGAGAATTGAATAAGTCTGATTCGTCGTATGTATTTCTGCGCAGAAAGGGACAATTAGTACTACTACTACTACGGAAGACACGCCCATATTTGACAGGAATAGGGTATCCTTGGAAATACCATCAAGCGCATTTGGAACTGGCTTCACCCTAATTACAAATATTAGCAAGGTTCTCAACGGTGTAATCCTAGTAAGTACAATCCACGTATTAATTACAGGTAAAATATATTGATAAAAGATAATGATCGTTTTCCGCTGACGCGTAAGTCTAATCGTACGTTTTTATGTTGATTGCAAAATTTTTTTCTGATACGATCTAATCGATTACCATGTTCGCCCTTCACTTGCTTCGCTATTACAAAGAAACAAAAAGTGATTTATTCGCTTTCGACAGAACCGGAATTACTAATCTCCATGCTCTTGTTCTTAATCATGATCTCACATTTTTCAGAACTCAGCCCGTCGAACGCAGACGTTGCTGGAAATCTTTAAGCCTTTCTTCCGCGGTTCCTTTGCCATAAAGGGTCTACCATCGGATAATCACAAATAAGGCGTTCTATTTGTGCTTCGTATTCACATGATTACTGTGAAATAATTGCTCAATGATCGCGTTAGGAAACATTTCTCAAGTTCCGATCACATGTTTCCTAGATAGATGTTTCCTAGATATTGTTAATTCAGAACTTGTGAAGCCTTGTTTCAAAGTCCTGTTGATCATAATATCTTAAATCCGAGATTGGAACATTTGCGAAGTTTTTTTCGTTGTCAGATAAATATTATTTATGATGCCATATTTTTGCCTCATATTTCATATTATATTATTCTTTACACTTGTTCTGCTTGTGCTTCATTAATTTTTTAAATGACTCGAAAATTGGCGTCGTAAATGAAAGATACGTTTTTAAATTATTAAAAGCGTATGTTATTATAGATATTTATATATGAGATTTATATATGTAAAAAAAGAAATGTGTAAGAGAAATAATTTTAAAAATAATTTAGTTAGATTTTAATTAAACAATGTATTACAATAATTTAAAATATAGTATGATAAGAAACTAGAGAAGAGCGACAATCAAAAATTGATACATTTCAATTTTTAAAAAATTTTTAATTTAAAATTAATTTTACATATAAAGCTAATTTTACTCTAACTTTAATATAATTTTAATATTAAATATAAAATATAATTAAATATAATTAAATATAAAAAATTTAGAATATTTCCTTATATATTAATTTGTTTTTAACTAAATATTTTGCCATAGATGATAATATTTCGCGTAAATAAGAGAATATTGCTACGCATATTATTTTTTATTTTATTTATGATATATTGTGAAAGCAATTGTGCAACAAAGTGGCAACTTATTCATTAAACTTAGTCTATCATGCAATAAGCAGATTGCATAAAAATTATTTATTAATAATGTGTTTTCGATTGCGATAGTATTGCTCAATGATTTATCATCTAGACAACTGTGAATATTATAAAAGATCAAGCGATCAGATGTCGCATCTACATCTTACATCAAGAACTCGACCATGTAACATTTTGCCGTTCACATAACGAGGACAACTAAAACAGATACAGTAACGCTTTGCAAAACCTGCGTTTCTCATAAATGTTAAATAAAGATAGTATTGTTAAAAAAAGATATTGTTAAAAGAAACTTATTTCTTTAAATTAAATTAAAGTGTTAAGTGAAGCACCATTTGTATTTTATTATTTTAACCAGAGAATATTAATTACTAGCATGCTTGTAACATCGTAACGATGTAAGGCAGAAGGCGCGCGTTTGATGATCATTTTGTTTTAGTCTTTTAAGCGTCGTATGTGGCAATGTCAGACTAAGAGCAACTAAGTAAAAGCATTTTGCATAATTCTTAGATCAGCGACCTGTTGCACGATTATTCCTTTGACGAGCAAGGAACGTATAACGTAGTGCGAAAATGAACCGCGACGTTCAAAGTTCGAGGAGACATTACGACATATGCCAGCGCACGATGCTTAGAATGTAGGTAAAAAAATTCAAAGATTTAAACTAACAAACAAGCGGCGACAACGCGACGCATTTAACTAATCCATGTAATCTAAATAAATGATCAACGCAATGTAATTGGCGAAACATATGTCCTGCATTAAAAATTGTATGTTCCACACATTCAATATATTTTAATTGTATTAAATGTATTTCGTATAATTTATTTTATAATATTTTTAAACCGTCGTGTCAAATTTGTAAATATAATGTTAACAAAGAGTCATAATTTTTATTTGTGCTATATTGCAATATAATGCTAAATTGTTTGTTGTATCATTTGCATCTCATATGAGCGCTATTCTACATAACAAATGCAGCAGAATTTTAACTAAAAAGTAAAATTTACAAAGTAAAATAATTAAAATAAAATACAAAATTAAATAATTGCAAATTATTGTTTAATGTGAAATAATATCATCTGAAGTTAAATTTATGTAAAAATTGTTGATTTATCGCTTATCACGTATAAAAACGTTTGATAAACAATGCACAGGTATTTTTGGATATTATTTAATTATGATTACTTATAATTATCTATAATTATCACAATGGTAGGTCACTAAAAACGTGTTTTGTTTTCCGCAGAGAAAAATTCTCCGATGCAATCTTGTCCGTGCAATAGCAGAATCACATGAAAAACTCTGTCACAGAATTTCGATAATTTGTTTCGTTTACATCACAGAGAATACGTAAGATGTGTCGTAAAAATGGTGACGACCTTCGTGGCCGATTCGAGGTATCGGAACGTAGAGAGAACTCATCTCGCTAGTACTATCTCTGCCGTCTAGTAAGATGCACTTGATTCCACATCATCTACTGCATTCAGCAATGTAAATTACATGAAGGAACGAAAGATATAAATATATATCAGTGCGATATAATAATACCACAGAAGAAACGACAATCTCTGAAGAAAATATCTATTTAATAAAAAGGTAAGATAATTCCAATTATTATCATAAGTATGTATTATTGTTTTTTTTTTTGCTCTAAATCTCGGATTTTAAACTGCATTTAAAGTAAATTTAAAAATTTTCAATTCTTGTGCAGTGTAAATTATTTCTACACAGAGAGAAATTTTCCATTTTAAGAATTTTAAGAAATTTTCTAAACTGCAACGCCATTGTTTTTCACATTAAAAATTATTACACATCCCGAATTTTTGCGGCTTCCTTTGCGGCTTCCTTTGCGGCTTATGGTTTACTGGAATAGTTCTTGTTCTTTTTCCTTTTATGTGTATTTTCTAACGAAGATATTGCTTCATATTCGTAAAATAATGACAAGTTTGAATAAGGAAAATAAGACCGATAAAATAAATTGTCTAATATACTTATCACGCAATATATAAGTGGCGCGCTTGCGTGTCAAACAGATTGCACGTTGCTCTTTTTTTGTATTTTGCGTTTCTGTACAATATGGGTATACAGGAAACGTGAACGATCAGTTAACGATTGGCGCCGAGAAGTTCGCATCTCTGTGAGGTTTGCCTGAAAAACAAAACGTAAGTAACAACTTTTTTACAAAACATTGCTGTAGAGGATTTTTCATTTTGTATTATTAAATTGATTAATTGATCGAGATATTAGAGAAAGAGAGGATGCATAACTCTAGTTTTGGCTAGCTAAATTATAAATTCGTTAATAACGGTATATAATTGGCGGCAGTAACAAAGCCTATTGAATTTATGTACATAAATTTAAAAAATAATTACTACGCATCAAGATCCAACTGTGATCATAAATATCTTTCTTACTTCTAGTATTGAAAAGTAAATTTATTTAAAAATATTATAAAATTGAATTTCTTTTTAACAAAAATTTAATGAGTGATAACAAGGAATATTATCTAATAACTTACTGAAATAACAACATTATCCACAATAATTTTGTTGGCATTGAGAAGAGAAAAATCATTGTAATAATATAAAATAACGTAATAGCAATAATTTTGCAGAACGTCTTATATAAACTTCACAAGCTTAATTAATTGATTTTTTGCGATAGATGTATGAAGTACTGAAAACTGAATGTTAAAGATAGAAAAATAAACAAGTTTTTTTTTCATAAATAGCTCCTTTTCATGTATAATTAAAAAGATAATGTAAAATACTTAACGACACTTTTAAAATTGCTTTTTGCAATCATAATAGAAGAATATTAATATATTTCTACAAATTGCTGCATGAATTCTAATTCTAAGTTACAAACCAAGATTCACTTTCTCTTTTATCTTTAAATGTAATTATAATAGTATCTCATTATGTAAATAATTTCTAATTAATCCTATTGTCTACTAATTACAATCTTCAATAAAACACAATTATGCCCTAGCTTATGAACGTTCGGTCAAGGCCGTGTCTTTGTCTTTAGAGAGGTCTTTAACACCTACGTGTAACTTATAACTGTACTGTGGGCTTATAAAGTCATAATTTATCAAGATATATAACAGTATCTTCACACATCTCGTCCGCGCATAATCATTAATTATAATTAGCTACAGCAATTTATTTTACGAGCGCTTATTCTTTTTTGCACCGGTGACTTGCCACTTTACCTTCTAATCTTAAATTTATCATTTCAAGTCATAACTTTAAGCAATGCTTAAAAGGCAATTCTCTTTTTACATTGCGAATAATTGCGAATAATTGCGAATTAAACTTCAAGCACGTAAAAAAAGAAATAGAAGTTATTTAAGTTAGTAAACAATCTAAATCCAAGCTTCGTTTTGTCTTATTCTGCAATTTGAAATCACATTAGATCAAAATTGCGTTAAATATAGGTAGTAGATAAATAGAGTCATTTACATAGTCACGTAAAGTAATAGATAAGTATTGACAAGGTAAGTACCGACATCTTATTACATAAGACAAAAGGTGTACAAAAAGAGATGTATGCGCATACATAATCACGTGAAATTCTACTCTTTACATCCTCAAAGTTCCGTGTCAAATTGTAAAACCTAAAATTTAACATATAAGTACTATTAGTTTTTCATCGCATTGTACATATTATCAAATACTAAATATAAGTAACATCTAACGTTTTTCACGACTTTTGTTATACTTTCTCTCATGCGAAAGAAAATTTCATGCAGGAATCCATTATTATTATTATTAAACTATATTCAAAGGGATTTGGATTTTGATAACAAAGAAACTTTTAGTGCAAAGTAGCTTGTGCGTCTTTTATACGCACGCCTTTCACAGTAAAATAATTAACGGTAAGTGAACCTGATAATCAGAGCGTGTCATAAAAATTTTATCATATATCAATATTAAAATACCGGCTAATATGCTCTGTCATGTTGCTATAAAAGGTAAATTATCTTTCCACGTTATCTTTCATTCTTATTTATTTGTTAAATTTTATTAAAGAATTTAGATTTTTCCAAAGTTTTGACTAATTTGACAAATATATTTTTTATTTCTCAATTATCGAAAATATCTGATGTTAAATATTAAAAGCTAGATAAATTTATATAAAATTTTTCAAGAATTCATACGCAATTACAAAGATGAACATTGTTCAGCGACACGTCGTTTTGTCATCCTGAAGCTCATGCAATTATAACAAATTACACTGGCACGTATAACGGAATCTCGATTACGTGTGTGATTACGAAGAGTGAAAGTGAAAGATGGAAGTCGTTACGTACTGTAGTCCACGTGGACCTGAACCTCGGGCAGGTTTTCGAAGACAAGGACGGCTAAGTACCGCGGTTGCCGATCTCCGGACCGGATGGCGAGATCGATGATCATTTATCGTGCAAATTCTTAGTGACCTAATGTCGTGCAATTGTGAAATTGTAAAAAGAAGTATATTTCCTTCGGATCATGTGCCAATAAGAAATAGAGAGATTAATAGTAAACAACGAGAAAATTAAATAATGGAATTAGTGTTACGCAAAGTGTTTCACAGTTTTAATTTTTTCCGTAATAAAATTCGCAATCGATTTCTTTTAAGTGAAAACATCAACATATAAATCGTTTCCAAGTTGCATACGACTGAAATAAAAAAGTTTTTTGTAAACAAAATTTTCTAAAATAATAGCAAAATTAATAATTTACGATCAACCTCCATTAAATTTTATTTTAATAAAATTTTTGACAGTTTAGTATTATAAGTTATAATATAGGAGACGAATTGCACAAAATTAAAATAAAAAAATATCACGCGGAACATAATGCAATTTTAATTAGCTCTAAAATCGTAGTGTTTTTTTTTCTCGGACGGAAAAACTAATGTCCCATAGTTTCTCTATCGTATCGCTCTTTCGTATAAAGAAGATCATAGAATGCAAAGAAGGTGAAATTTTGATTGCATCTAAAAATAGTTAGCGAGTTTGTTAAATCCATTGTGTGTCCAATGAGACGCACGTGCGAGCACGATTTAAGTGCTCCACTTAAATCTCACCGCGTACGCTTACATTTTCGCAATCGATAGAAATCTTCAGGCGATATATTGTACTTCACGGAAGTAGAAAGTCTTATGACTTTACGTGAGCCTGTGCACGGCATGTGTAGTTTCAGAATACTGCAGCGTGATTGCTCCTGAAATCAGCGCGACGTAACCAGTCACGGGCTTATTATTATTATTCGATAATCATGTCGTTACCAATCAATATTAAACATTATATAGCCACGAGATATATAAGTTACGCACAGGTAACTTTCCAGCATTTCGTATTACGAGTAATTCGTAGACACTTAGAAACTTAGAATAATCAGCCAAATTATAGTATTTTGCAGACAAGTCGTGTGCGTATGTAGCAACTTTTCGCTGTCAAAATATCGATCGTTTGACAAATTGACGCGCTGTAGGAGGTCCAAATTTTCGATAGCGTTGAGACATCAGATTTCATTGTTTCGCAACATGCACGATAAGGCCCACTATTAATTCGGTGCACGTGTTTCGCGCTCGCGTCACGTATAATAAGAAGGTCGAAATGGATCGTCGAAATATTCGGATGATCCTCGTGAAAGAAATCATTGGCATTGGCCGATAGTCATGCTCGATCAGCGGCGTGGGCCATCGGCCAGCAATAATCGTACACCGCGATCGTCGTGGTAGATCGAAGGGAAGCGATTTTTTAAACAATTGTGCGCGAACGAACGATAGAAACTGCTGTTTTGTTGCGGTAAACCGCGAGTGACGCATAGACTTTCCAGTGGAGAACGTTTCGGAATAGAGGTTCTTTTGCGCAAAATTTGATATTGCTTCCAGATACGTAGGCATTTCAGAAAAGTTAGATTATTGTACGTTGAAGAAAATTTTAGAATGCTGAATGATTGAATGATTTGTGGAGAAATGTGCGCGTATTCGAGGAGAAGAAATGTTTTAGCACATCTGTCTGGATTTAAATTGTTGTCAATGTAAGTCAATAATAATTCTTAATTTTAAATTAAAATTTTAATTTAATTTTAAATGAAATTTTTAATTTTAATTTTTTAACAATAATTTTTAAGAAATCATTTTTTTTTAATTATTTTAACTTGATAAATAATTTAACAAATTATAATATGAGACAAACAAGTTTTTATTGATAAATAAAAAAAGATTTACTTTTCTAACCGAGTTAAATATAAACTTTTAACTGTACTACTACTTTAACCATAAACGTTTTTTATGAAATATCATAAATTATATAATTGATTTAGTAAGTGATAGATCATAAGCTAAGCGTTTCATTTTCTAAACTATAATTGACAATTTTCCCGTTGTAGTTTTCAGTGAACTTTCTTTATTCCACTAAATGATGATAACCGATTTACGTAATAACTGCCGATTCTTTTTCGTGCGTCATAGTCATCGTTTAACTCTCACTGCATGATGTTTCTACGGACTCGTGAAATGCAATTTTGCACGAGCTCCGTATCTGTTATGACGTTCTTTACATAATATATGTAATACTTTATTTTTGTTACATTCAAATATAGTTATATCATTCAATGCAACACCTATTCGTGTTTCTGTCATAATATTTTCAAAAATATTTCGATAAATTTCTTGATATCTTTTCCCGATTACACATTTAAACATCGTGAATTTTTCATTAGTAATTTAACTTGTTAATTTGCACATTTATTTTTAATTTTATAAATATTTTTTTCAGATGTATATATCATCGATTAGTTCCTTTGCAGCCAGTTGGCTATTCCTCTGTTTGATCATTCCATTTCATGGAGCTGAAAGATCAGATTGGATTCCTCTGGATCGGAAGATCAATGATGATGTACATCATCAATTTCGATCAATGCAGCCAGAATCAGTTTCTTTTAAAGAACAGTTCCAATATAATGTCCCGAAATCTCCACAGTACAACGCTTATCGTTCTAATCAGCATAATTCAGTGTTGCCTAAGAATAGCTATTCTGAAGGCAATGTAAAGCAAAACGTGGCAAAATCCATACCGAAATATCTAGAAGACGTATATAAACCATACTATTATTCGGAGTTCGTCGGAAATCAAGAGACTACCAAAGATAAAAGCGCTACGCTGGAGCAACGTTACGAGGAGACCGATGAAGAAATCGATGAGGAAATAATGAAGAAAATGAACGTGTTAGATAAGCTGTTGTCCGAAGATACCGATGCGAACGACGTCGAGTTGAAGAACACAGTCGAAGATGCAATCATCGCGGAAACGAATATCTCTGAAGAAACGAAAAGAGTTGTCAGACAAGTTCGCAGGCAACGTCCGGGATTCTTTTGGACCTTGGCGAGACTTACTTTCGAGGTACGGATAATAATATGTTCCGACACTAAGGTAACCGTTAAAATTCTTCAGAATTTATATAAAAAAATTCCCAACTCAAAAAAATGATGAAATTGGCAATATATACAAGATATGTAATATAGCACTTTTGTTAGTTTCCTGAATTCACTTTAAAGAAGTTAAATCAACCATAAAAAATTAACTCATTTTTCGTTTTGTGTCAACAAAAAAAAATAAAACAAAATTTTATAAAGAAAATTTATTCCTTTTTATTTGTTGAGATTTATCAGAGATTATTTTATCAATTGCTTAAAAATATATAAGAAATGTATATACAACAGTAGAAAAAATATATTTTCAGTATATTTTTTAGTAAAACATATATAAATATATTATAAAACATTACAGAAAAATCATGTTGTAAGGAATATAAATAATATATATTAAAAATATATGGGAAATATGCAGACATTTCATAATGCATAGCAATTGGAAAATATTATAATTATATAAAAAATAAAAATATCTATGAAATATTTGGAACACAACGGACATTTTTGAAGGACATTGTTAATTCAACTTTTCCTAATAATGTCAAAAACAAACCATTTTTTTTCCATCTAGTTTTAAGCTAAAAAGAAAAGTAGAAATTTCACTCTGTTTAGCACGTTTTCATTCCATTTCAGGCATTCAACGACACGCGATCAGCGATTCAACAAATTAGTAATCTCATCAGTCAAAACATCGAACCGGACCCGACCACGCGATCACCAGTCAGTAGTCATCCATTGATGGTTACTGATGCGAGAACAGTTGCACCATCGAATGATCAGAGTACTGTGTCCAGCGACATGGCAAATGCCAACGCGACGACGACAATGACAACCACGACCTCACGACCTTTTAGACTCACGCCAACCGGACTTCAAACTTTAATTAGAAGAAATTTGCGCGGTTTAATCAGGCTCTTCAATATTGAATGGCAGGATGCCCTAAATGTGAGTTTTATTATACTCGTTTCCTCCTATCAATTCTTTTTAATACACTGAGAAAAAAATGTTGTTGAATCGACAGCATCAGTCTAATTGGAAATAATTTTTAATTCAATGTTATTATTAATAAAACAAAGATCTTGATTATTAATACAACAGCATGACATATTTGTTTCATTAATAATGTCATTGAATTAACAAAATTATTTCCAATTAGACTAATGTTGATTTAACAGCATTTTTTTATCAGTGTATATTTTATTGGACTGTTATTTCATAATTTTATTATAAAAAGATCTCAATAAATTGCTCGACCTTTCAGCAATCGGAGATAAATGTGAGGGAATTTCAAAAAAATCTCGGGAATCAGGTAGGCAGTTTCCTGCAGGATAATCCAAACGCTTTTTAAATGTGACAAAGGTAGCATCGCGAAGAAGAATTAAATGGATGGCGAAATATACCTCAAAGCCAAAATTGCACATAACGATCCATTTATAACAAGCAATTTTATAATAGCCAAAGACTATTATTATTAGTCTCTGAAAATTATATCTTTCGATTTTTTATACTACATCTGCGTTTAGTTAAGTATTTATACAGTGACCCGATTCTTAAATAGAAAAAAATAGATTTACGCAGAGATGATTATTTATGTCTCCCTTCATTAAAATTTATTACATTGTAGTAAAAATGCACATATTAGATATAATATATAGATTTAAGGTGCACAATATTTCTTCATTTCTGCATTGTCGTTTAAACTAAATGAATCCTCTAGAACTGACATCAAAGGCGCCAAACCAAAAGTAATAATTACACAATCAGTTTCTGTTACTTTTGATTCGGCTCTATTAGCCTCAAGACTTTTCGGCGTGACCTATTCATCGAGTTACGACTGATGACAAATAATGCCGAAATTCGGCGCTAATGATCTGAAAGATCTCGAGTCCTACGAGCGGTTACATCATGAGTGAACGTTTCTCCGTCATCTCCGTATCTCCGCAATATATCGAATTACACAACCGTTTTCGACTCTTAACCCACGCCAAAGTTTTCTGCGTGTAATATAAAGAAAAAGAAACAGCTAACTTATTGGAATCATCCACTGGTGTAAAAGAGAACGAAAGGATCCAAAGATCACGATTGGCGTGGCACGATTGCAATAAATAGAAAGCACCTTCTTCGTCCGAGAAAACCGGCGTGAACCTGCGAATCCTAAATCCGGATTGGTCGACGATTCGTGTGGGATCTCGTGGAAACCCTTATAGATCAACGAAGCGGATTCGCGATACAATTCTGTGACGATCCATGTTGAAACTCGGAGCAGCCAGCTATAAGCAACTCTATTTCGACAGGTGTTAAAAAAATGTTTTGGTGCTGCGGTTTCCTGAGCTTTCTTCTTCTACTTAGTGATGTGTACGGCGTAAGTTGCTTTAATCAAAGATACCATTAATAAAAAAAGAATTTAAACGATAGAGATTTCAAACTTAGATAGCTTAAAAGATTAGAGAGATAATTTGACGCATCAATATTATTCAAATTTTGCAAAGAAAATTTTAATTTTTTATATGTATAACAATAATTCAGTAATCGCTAAAGTTTGCCAAGTTTTGTTTTAAGAATTATCGCTTTTAATATTATTGTTAGAATTTATTGTTATTTTTGAAGATAATAAATTATAAATTAAAGTTTTCATTCAAAAACTTCTATAAAAAAATTTTTTTCTGTCTTAATAAATTATGATAAAGTTATTTCACTCTTGAGTAAAGACCGCGACAGCATGAATTAACCTTTCCAATAATGACCAAAGATTATTCAACAAATTTTTAATCCACAAAAAGTGAAAGCTGCAATAAAGACTAGGCACTTTGGCCATTATTTATACATGTAGCGTAGACTTATATATTCTCTATGGGTTAAGCGTGGGTCGTACTTATCATACATAAATCTCAGAAATTTCTATGCAGTACACGCGTTGTTTACATTACTTTATATATAAAAATTATAAAAAAATTACCTGTTCGAAGTATTTTTAATTGTTGTGTAAGAAAGAGAAATTAGTTTCGTCTATGTATTTCAGGATATTTCGAAGAGCAGAGTACGACGCCAAAATGGTCAACCTGCCCAAAATGGTCAACTGATTGATAACATTTTTAACGTAAGCAATATTAGAAAATTTTTTTATAAAAAAATTATTTTATTTTATTAAAATAAAAAGGTTTATTAAAATTTCTTAATAATAATAAATAACAATCAATTAAATAAACAATCAATTGTTAAAATAACAAAAATAATAAGAACTGTTTATATTAAAAAGTTCATATTAAAAATGTGTACAAATAATATATATTTTAATAAATAAACAAAATTTAAAAATCGTATTTTTATCTTACAGATTCCAATTACAGCAATCAGACAAACCGCATCCGTCGTCCAAGCTTTTTCACCAGAGAACACGGAGACGATAAGCAATATCGTTAAGGTCATGTATAAGTAAAATTCTTTAAATTTATATGTTCAAAGTGTATTTAATTATCTTTTACGATCAACAAAATTATTTACAGATCCCCGTTTCAACCCTGGAAGCTGTCGGCACACTTGTAAAAAATACCAGGGAGCAAAGACAAAACCCAGAAAATATTTTAACTCGTCAAGAGAGGAGAGAACGCATTTTAGCTATAAAGGAACAGAAAAGAAAGCGAAAGGAAGAAATCCAAAATCAACGATTGCAAGAGCAATTGAAGAGACCCGTTAGACATTATCACAAGGATCCGCTTGGATTAAATGCATTGAGCAATCTTCTGATTGGACATCACAGTGGACTTTTCGGCCATCATTCTGGATTGGGTGGCATCCATGGGATTCACGGAGGTCATCACCATGGTCACGGCCATCACGGAGGTCATCATGGTCAAGGAATTCTTGGCAGTCATGGTAATTATCTTCGCTGATCTATTTTCTTAAGGGAAAATATATTGTTTCTAAAATTATTGTATAAAAATATAATTATACAAAAAATGATTTTGCTGATGTATTTAAAAATTTGGCCAGATACAGATTTGAAAATAATTCGGATGGAGCAAACTCAAAATTCTTATGTCCGTTGAATATAAGTTTGCTAAAAATAACGTAATAACATAATTTGCAATATAAGCAATTAATTTCGAATTCACATATATATTAATTTTTCTTTTTATTGAATTTATATACGTGTATACACACACACACACACACACACACACACACACACACACACACACACACACACACACACACGTGTGTGTATATGTATATGTATATAAATTCAATAAAAAGGAAAATTATTAAATTCTTAATAATTTTTTAATAATTTAATAAGATCAAGTCCACTGAGTAGTTGCTGAAGAGTGACTATTTTTTGTTGTTTATGTAAGCTTAAACATGATGATAATTTTGTAAAAATTTTTGATATTTTAGCAACCAATTTGAATGTATTTTATAATTATTTTGATGACAACGAAATTACTTTTACATCTATATTTGGTTAATTTTTTTAGATAATTTAGTATAATTGTTCTTTTCTTTGTAGATGTTACATGTAGTTGTATAATTAAAAGTGTTATATAAATAGATATAAACACATTATATAAGTAGATGTAAATGTATTTTATATCTCTCATAAAAAGTGATCTTCCAGGACATCGTCCGCAACATACCTATGAGGTCCACGAAGATATTAATGAAGATACAACTTTTTCCTGGCACGGTTTAACCGCTGGATTTGGCACTTTCTATGGAACTCGACCTTCTAGCACCTCTTTTAAAATTGAGAATAAAATCGCTCCTAAAGACAAGAATCAGAAGATTTCTAAATATCCAAATGATGACGCGAATTTACAAAACAAAACTGTAAAAGTTACAAATAAGCCAGTATACGAATACGACGATCCGCCGCTGGAAAATAAAATTGCACCCAGAAATGGAAGAGTGACATTTATGCAATAATGATGTAAATATGTAATAATATGAAATAATTAAATTAGATATAATTTTTATCTGGAATTATCGTTTATATATCGCTTTGCCTATTTTATATTTTTTATATTTAGAATATTACTCTTTAAAAAATATATTTTATTAAGTTCATGAATATAAAAGAATAATATTTTAAAATATAATTAAAATAAGAATTATATATAGTTATTAATGTAATATTATCCAAATAAGTACTGCCTTTTTAAAATATAAAAATTACAACTTGTATATATTCAATTTTATTTGATCTTATTGAAATTAATAAAACATAACTCGTCTATTAATTTTTGTGATAGTCATATCTTTAAATAATATTTAGTGCACTTGTTAAACAATGGATCTTTGAATACTAGACATTGATTAATAACGGAAAGAAATGTGGATTGAATGACTCAACTATTTTCAAGTATTGAAGATTTATGTGTAATGCTATAAACATTTATGAAGCTTATTTTGTTCAACAATCGGATAATCATTTCATAAATGTAACGAAAAAAGTAAAGTGTAAAAACACTGTTATTTCTACTAATTGCGATTGCGAGAATTTCTTTGAGAGCCTTTGAAATAAATATAAATATACTTAGATGATACGTATGCATGACGTAACGCACGTATCAATGCAATCTCAAATTCAATTTTATTATACTGTCGTCCAGGAAACAATGTGTCGTTAGAAATTTTAATTGACATAAACACGATTTAGCATGGATATACATATACGCAGCATTTAAAATCAATCCTTGACCTTCGAGCATTTACTCTATTTTTGCATCGTAATGCAGGAGCCGTGTATTTACGAATGTCGCTGAACGTGCGTAGTTTTTTCAACATTTGTTTTATTTTTTACGTTGTCTTTTCAATTTACACACCATAAAAATATTACATTTATAAAAATACAACAATTTAATTGAATGTATTTTAATTATTATTATAACAACTTCTGATGTGAAATATAATATAATATAAAATACATATAAAGATAATATTATTGTCAAATTTAAATTGTTATCAAATTTTAATTTTTAAAATATTTATTTTATAGAAATTGTATTTTCTGAAAAAATTTGATATATCAAAAATATCAATAATAATTTATTTTTTAAACCATTTAAAATAAACAATTAATTTAAGTAATTTAAATAAAAATAATTAATTACGTACAATCAAATTATTAATAAATAGTTGTATAGATTACAACAAGATTTACAAATTGTAGAAAAATATTTTTATTATACAAAATATTTATTTCTTCAACAAACAGATTCTACATGTATTTTTCATTAATTATTATAATATTTTTAATAAGACTTAAAATAACTAATTACGAATAACTTCTTTACTTAAGCATTTTATAATTAAAATGTTAAAATTTTTTAATTATAAAATGTTTCAATTTTATTTTATTTAATTAATGTTCTATTAATTTATTACAGTGGAATCAAGTTGCATATGACATAAAAAAACTATTGAGCATAAATATTAATTTTGCGATTGAATAATGCGATTGAATGAATTAGAATGTCCATTTAAGATCTACGTCGTAATAACGATATTATAAATTTACAATCAAAAATAAAGACGCGAAAACAAACGATAACAAAATAAACAATAAATCAAATTACATTCTTCTTTAAATTATATATTTAAATAATAACAAATTCTTGAATTGATAAAAATAAATAAAAACTTTTAAAAGATAATTTTAAGAGATAATTGATTAATAAACCATTAAAAATGTCAAGACAAAAAAAAAAAGTCTCTCGGACATAAAATTATCATTCAGGAATTTTTCCATTCCGAATAGTGAATAGTTTTTCTTTAATTATTATACGATTTTATATTTCTATAAATTTGCATTAATTTACTTGTTTAAAAAAAAACTCATTAAGTTATTAGTCACGTTAAATATTCAAAGAATAAATTAACTGAACTTTGTACCGTTTTTATATCATGATTCGTGTGAATCTGTAGTTCACCGAACGAATGATTCGGATCTCGCCGATTCGAGCTCTTGCCCCTACCAGCAGCAAGTGACTAAGAAATACCCTCCGGTCAGACTGAGAAATCACTGCTTGCCTGCCTACCGGCCTCGATCCTCCGTCAGTAAACGCGAAGATGTCGTTCAGTGTGGTAACAAACTGTCTACTTATCATTTTTATAGCTTTGGCTAACGGGATGCCACAGGAAGATGAAGAAAAATCTGGACCGGTGAGTAAATAATTATTTCTTTGTTACATTATTACTTAATATATTGTTACGCGCAAAGTTTCCCAGTTTTCTTTGATACGTAAGAGAAACATTGGCATTAAGTCTTATCTATCGGAAGAAGTAATTTACAACGCGCTTTGTGTAATAATGCAACTGTTACACAAATATTATTATTTATTTAGGACAGCGTATTATTAACTTTATATATGGAAATACAAAACGTTAATTAGATTTATCTTCTCTAAAAAAAAAAAAAGTATAAAATAATAAGTCGCCTTCGTGTGGAAATGAAACTATATATAAAACGCGAAATCAAGATGTGACTTGGTAATTATAATTGATTGCGAAATTACACGAAAAAGTGCATGTATTTCGAAAATGCTAGAGAACGAGAAAGGCGATTATTACGTGTTTGTGTAGCCACAGATGATGAAATGAGAAACTGAATGTGAGCATATATTCCCTGTATCCAAGTCAATTACGTAAAATGCATGCATTACTAATGGACAACGACAAGATGAGATACGACATTACAGGAACAACAAGGAACGGCGATTTTTAATTAACATAAATATTTTTAGTTTAAAGTGGCGAAGTTCACGATATTGTATGTTTACGTAAAACCTTTGTACGCATAACAGACATATATTACATCCTGACATCAGGTAATTTATTTAATCACCAATAATTGCGAGCGCGATCATATTCTACGTACCCATTGTATTTCTGACGTCATCACGAATAGACATTAGAATGCTTATACGGGAATGCATTGATGTGTTGCTCCAGAAAAACTAATTCCTTAGTATGTCAATTGCTTTTGAAAAGAAAAACGTCGGAGGAAAAGTTACATGTTTAGCTGGTTAGATAATCTGACTCTCCTGTGAAGAGAAAGGATTGCGGAACCGATAGAAAGTTGCATAAAACTTAATTGTTTAGCGGCGTTGTTTAATTAGTTACTAATTGTCAAACAGAAATAGTTTACGTTATGTCAAAAAACTATAAGGCAATTTTCATTAATTAGCAAAAATAAAAGGAACACGAGTCAAACGAGTTGATTAAAAGTGAAACAGGATATGAGCTGCTACGAGTTGCGTTCTTTATTTATTAAAGTCGGAAGACAAAAAGTAAGATAGTTACGCATAGCTCATTTTACGTGATGTAGTTCGCAGCTTGATGTTATTGATGTTAATAACTTTGTGGCAATAAGAGGAAGTATAAAGTTCAAGAACAATTATAACACTTATCACAAATCTTTATGCCGGGAACGTAATTTTTCCACTTGATAATATCACCACAGACTCCATTAAAAACATTCCATGCAGGCTGCTCTGAAATATACAACCTGTTATTCATTTGTTATCGAGCCATTATTTTTTTAACACATCTCGTCCGCCTTGAAATAATCTTTAGAACGTTGATAGTGAATGTAAATTCGGTTAATGCACGCTGTATGAATCTCAATGCCAACGCTGCGGGAATTCGCATCCGTAAAACTTGCGTATCGTCCCTTTCAGGCCTGTTTGCACAGCATGAAATACAGCGTGAAAAAAATAATAATCGAGGGAAAATTGTTATATCGCGCAACGGTCACGGTAAATAATCTCGAAATTATCCGGAATCTCTGCAATTGATGAAACTCGTGTGCGCACTCTTGAAAGAAGGCGGCTTTCATATCTTGCGGTAGAGAAGAGGCGGAAATGCGGTAATCGCAGTTACATTGTCACTTGCAATCTAGATACGTGATATATACAAAGAATAGAGATAAGATTGGAAAAACGCACGCAAACCCTTTCGAAAAGTTTATTTCTGTTTATATAACGTGACATCTCTCTCTCTCTCGTTATATAATGTCAAACATTTTTAATTTTCATAAGATTTAATTGTCAATTTTTATTTGATATAGCTTCCATTCCTTCAATTTACTAACGGAGGAATCCGGGTGAATTTCGGAGGATATCACGCTCAGGCTGGACTCGGTGGTCTTCTACGAGGCACAGGCGCAGGTGGTGGACTTCACGCGAGCGCGGGAACTCCATGGGGTGCACACGCTGGTGCGGGATTAGGCGGTCAATTAGGTTTGGTAGAAGACGGTGGTAATCTTGGTAAGTATTTACAAAAATAAAAAGAAAGATAGGAATTATACTAAATTAGTTAAAAGATAGAATTTATATTGTATTAGTTACAAATGTTCATCAAACAAAAAATGCTTGAAGCAAAAAAAAATATATAAAATTATATTAGTTGAAAATGTTTGATCAAACAAAAAATGTTTAATGGAAAAAAGAATCAAAATTATATTAGTTAAAAATGTTTGTCAAGCAAAAAATGCTTAGTAGAAAAAAATCGAAATTACATTAATTGAAAATATTGATCGGACAAAAAATGTTTGTAATCAATTAAATTTAGACAAAAAGATAAAGTTTCTCAATTTAGCAGGATTTATATATTTCTATCAAAAGGAAAATATAATATCGAATAAGTATGGAATAAAACCGCATAAATACAAGTAAAATTTGCTTCAGGCGGCGGTCTTTACGCTCGCGCTGGATTCGGTCGTGGAGGACCAGAAGCGGCAGCTGGCCTTGGCGGGAGACTGGATGGCAGTGGAAGGTCGCCGAACCCAATCGCAGGTGGCATGCACGCGGGAGCGACACTAGGCGGCGGTCCAGGTCCTGGAGTATTTCTCGGAGGAGGTCTTGACAAAGCAATTGATGGATTTATAAGCGGCAGTACGCCTAACGAAGTTGGCTCAAATCCGCCTGCACCTGCCGCTACCACGCCATCAAACGAGGAGGCGACTACGAAGGCGAAGGGTCGAACGAATATACAGATTATACGTTCGAGGAAGGAGAAAGAGGTTTCCAATTGCGATATAACATAATTTATAATTTACTCTGCTGAACTACCCTGTAAGCGGTATGGGATACAGCATTCTGATTTTCTAGGTCTCAAATAAACGAGAAGTTGAGAGACGCGTGGAAGATCATTGACAGTCTTCTAACGCACCTTCTGTAGAATAGTCGTAGTTTCGTTAGTAGCACTCACTCTAATAAGTCACATGCGCAAAACTAAAAAAATTCATATAAAAATTCTTCTTTCTTGGAATAAGTCTGGATTCTTGGGATAAAATCTTTTTACACGTCGATCATCTTTGCACCAAATATATTCGTGGGAATATCGCCTTTAAAATAAATATCGATAAATATGTATCGAACGCAGAAGGCGCTTGAAGCGACGTCACGAGCCGATGCGTCCGCAGATGGAAAAACCGAGACGCATAACAAGGAGGTGAGAAATCATCATTTATCATTTAAGCACATTAGTCATTAAGTATCGGAAAGAGGAAAATTTATTGGAAAAATTGTTTACTTCGCGACACAGACACGACGTGCGGTGCCAGTAGCGGTCGTGCCACCCGCGGCGGAAGTTGGCCTGGTCAAATCGATTTACGTTGGGGCGGCTCCAGCAGTGAAAACCGTCGTGGCGGCTCCAGCAATAAAACCCGTCGTGATTCCTGTAGTCCCTACAGCTGCTACAGCCATAGAAGGCGCAGGCCAAGTCGCCGCCACCGCCACCGCCACCGCCACCGGCGGCATGACAGGTTGGCGAGCAATCATCATTATGCGATTTGTCTGCCGCATTTGCCCGAGTGGCATAAGCAATTTTTTTCCCTCTTCGTTCCTTTCCAGTTAATCCAGTGGTCGTTCCGAAGCCCGTGTACCCGCGATGGTACTTTAGAAAGAGGTTTTGGACCGGACCCAGAAAAGCGGTCTACGTAGCTCCAACGGTTGCCGTCGATACCCAAAGCTCACCTTCGGACATAGTCGGCGGAATTTTCCTCAACGCGATGGGAGACGGCGGTGGCACAGTCGTCGCCGGTAAAGCTTACGGCGGATCTCTATTCGATGATATTTTTAACGTAAGTCGAGACCTCTCTTCTCGGTACAGCAATTTACATCTCGCGAGCATTGTACGCTCTGCGTAAAAAATTACTTACGTAATACTTTACTTCTAATGAACCTCTTCACCTGATGAATCTTCATCTTCAGATCCCGATTTCTACGTTGTCCGCTGTTAATCAACTGCTGAACAACGTCGGCTGAGATCTCACCGTGGCGCAGTTTCCTCTTATGAGCCTATGCCTATGATATTATTATATAATAATAAACGATTACATAATAAGACATACAAGCGAAGATCGAGGATCATGCGAGGTTCCTTCGAATATATTTAGCGAATTCATTCATTCGTTGCGTACTCAGCCCCTTTTGACTGAAGATGTTTATTCTGTCTACTTACGGATGCTAAGCACATTTTAACATCCATCTCGCGATTCCTTGTACGTGCTTAGATTATATCAATGATTTCGTATACACTAGTATTCCTTTGTCCACAAATCATATATTCGCAAGAAAAATATACACATTAATAAAACTTTATATGATAAATAATTAATAGAGCATAATTTATTTATAAAATTCATTCTCATGCTTTATGATTTACACATTATTTGTATATAATTGTATATAATATACGCAAAACTTCACAACACACATTTCAAGGACGTTGTATTGCGCTGTCAAGAATTTTAAATTATGTATGTACATTGTTCAGCATAAATTGTATATGGGTACAAATATAAGCATCATAAGACATTCGCTATTAGCTACAAGTTATTGTATTTAAATTTGATAGTTAAAAAGCGAAAGATAAAATGCGGTCGTTAAGATGAAAGCAAACAATAATAATATGGTATTTTAAAATTAGTATTCATTCTTTCTTCGAAGATAAAAGTTCGTCGTAGTCATGCGAATCTTTGAAAACTTTTGTGTTCTGTAATTTTTCTCCATTCGTTCCTTTTCGTTCGATTCGTAGAACACGCAAATACGTCTTCATTACAATGAGAATGTATATAATTTTGTTAATAATCATAACAAGCGGTATTTTAGCGCGACCAAGATCCGAAAAGGAGGTAAAAATATTTATATTACATTCACTAAATGTTTGTAATATGTATTTTGACCTATCAATTCTTATTTTCTTAATTATTTAGGCTGTTACAAAACAGCCTGCACTTTCGAAAATTGCAAGAGCAGATCAAATTGTTGAGACTGCGGCGGGAGATGATAGAGTTAAAGGAATGTCGGTTATTATACCGGTTTCTTCTTTTCTTATAATAATAATAAGAGCACTCTGGAATCTTACAACACAAGATGGACAAATAATTGGTATCGAATGACAATAGTTGCGTCATCGTATAATAAAATGGATGTTCTGAATATTTTGCAAGCGGGAGACATTGAAACAACAAAGGACACAAAACCGCCAGAAATTATACAACTAAAAATCTCAAAAATCCAAGGCTCCAATAATCAAACCGAAGAATCCCAAATCCCAATGTCACAAAATGTAATGGAACATACAAAACAAAATGGAAAAAACTATTACAATTCTTTTAAGAAAATGCAGAATGTCAAATGCAACATTTGTATAGAAAAAGATGTTATATTAGAAAGTAGTAAAAAAAATGAAAATGAATTCTAAAGAAATAACTAATAATAAAAAAATTACTAATGAAAAACTACAAAATAAAGAAAGCATAATAAATAATATAAAAGAGTTGAATAATAAACAAATAGTTGGTAAAATATTAGAAGAATATAGAAATATAACTTTTAAAGAAAATGGCAAGAAAGAACAAAAAATATAACAAAAAGAGAATAATAGCAAAAAGGATAAAAAATAAGATAAAAACTACAAAAAAGATCAAACAATAAAAAAATTAATGATAAAAGCAAAAAAAGAAGTGTTGAAGATCGTAAAAATATTAACATCAACGAAAGTAAAAAAAAATGATAAAGATAAAGAAAAAAATAATAACAAAAAAGGTAATGTTACAATCAAAAGATTAAAAATCTACATATAATAGATAATGATTAAAAATCCACATATAAAAAATATAAAAAGAACAAGTTCATCATTATATCTAAACCTTGAAAATAAATAAATAATTTGCAATTTGTAATTTGTTTTTACTGAGATGAGTCAATTGATTTATCTCTATTACGCAATACTGGACATTTCCCATATTTAATTAACTAATTTTAATAATGTGACTTTATTCAAAAAATGATATCAATCATATAGAGATGTATCTGAGAAAACAATAAGATTATGAAACAGCAAAAATAAAATACTAATATCCATTATAAATATAATATGAATAATGTTTAATATGTTTAATATGTTTAATATGTTTCCTTTTTATGTTACGTATATGCAAGCTAAAATAAATATAATTTTTATATTTATAATTTAACTAAAAAAAAATTTATAAATACAAATTACAATAATCTTGCACAAATTGCAATAATCTTGTACAAATTTGTTAATCTTATTTTCCTTTAATATTTTTTATTTTAGCTTGTATTATATTTAAATTATCACAAAATAATTTTTAGAAGATATACAATTCAATAATGCATTTGGCAATTTTCGTATGAAAATTTGAAAATTTTGTGTATTTTTGCGTATTTAGTTAAAACCGAAGAGTACAATATTATCACTCGTTATTGATATGTATGCAAATAATCAACGATATCGCACAAAGAAACACATGATAAATTATAATCTTAACTATATTGCTTCCTGAAATATTGCTGCAAAATTCCTATAAAAATTAAGGTATAAAAAAATACTACAATACGATAATTTCTACTAGATAACGGAAATTAACCGCACGTGGCTTATTCTTTATTTATACGTACCAATTATTTTGTCAGACATTCTAATATTATGCAGCAAACATGACAAACTTTGTGTAAAAGTAGAAATAAAATAATCTACATGTTATTTACAGTTACCTACATGCACGAATATAAATTTAAATGCAAAACAAAAAAAGATTTACGTTATTTCACTTTTATTATTAACACTCAGAACTTTTTGCATAGTTTTATTAACGTGCAAGTATAAAATGAAGAAGCGTTCGAGTCAATATCGAAACAACTCGATCTTTTCAGAAATATAAAATACAGAAATTACTTGATAATTTCGAAATTAATTATTATTTAATAATTAAGGGCATTAATTAAAAATATGCGTATATATATCTTCTTGTTGCTGATTTTTGTAGGCAGAACACTAACTCTGTCAACTTATAAAAAAAAAATTAGCGTACGTATATTTTAAACATTTTATTAACATATGTGTAATCTGTTACATATTATTGAAAATTATCTTTGTATTTAATTATTTAATTAATACAAAATATAACTTGTAAATAATTAAATAATCTTTCTTTTAGGTAAATTATTAATTCTTATATTCTTTTAATTTTTTCATATAGGGTATTTCGTTCTCAGATGATGCTTCTGTTTCTGCAGGTTTAAATGGAGTAGAAGGAAAATTTGAAAAAGATATTGGTTTGCGAACACCAAATTTATTAAAAATATTTGGATCAAGTGATGACTCAAGTGATAACAGTGAAATAGACTTAAATATCAATGGTGATCAAACCTAATAATCAAATTTTATAATAGAAGAAATTGAAAGTTGAATAATTGAAATTTGAAATTAAGTAGAGAATTTTCAAAATATGATATTTATAAATTTATGTATAACAAAAAATTTTTACAAAAAAATGCTAATTTTAATATGCTTAGTATGCTTTTTACAATAAATATTATTGTTATATTAAATATATTTGATATAGGAGGAATAGGATTTAAACCAAAGTGGTCGCTTGACAAAAACGATGGAGGTTTTGGAATATCACTTGGTGGACATGGCGGCTTGGGTATTGGAATGTCGGGTAACAAAAAACTTTCAGAGAAAGAACACGTTAATAAGCATGACAAATTCAAGGAACATCATGAATCTTCAGAAAAATCCAATATTAATGAATTTTGGGACTCAATTAATCATGGTTTAAGTGGAAGCAATCATGCAAATCATAAGACATCCCTTGGTTCTGGAGGAATATCTGCTAATCATAATGATAGAATTACAGCTGATGTTACAGATAAAAGATATAAAGATGGTAGACGTGAGTCTCACAAAGAACATAACAATAATAGTAAAGAATGGAAAAAACACCAAAGCTCTTCAAAAAATGAGGCTGCTAATAAATATCTAGAAAAAAACAAGAATTGGAATCAAGGAGACATAATTATTATACCAATTTCTGAGGAAGAAGGCTCGGGGAAAGAGAAGTCACAAAGTAACGACGGCAAAATGCACTCAACGAAAAAAATAAAACGAGTAATGACGGAACAGATGATGTAATAGGTGGAGTTATAATAATACCATTCAAAGATAGCGAAGAATCCGATGAAATATCGAGCAGTAGTAGTATGGAATTTACTAGTAAAAGTAAATATCATAATAATTATGAAAAAAAGAAAGGAAATGATAACCATGTAACAGGAGAAGGAAGTATCAGAATATCACATAGCAAAAGTGAACAATCTAACGATGACGAGAAGAAATATAACAACAAAAACGGAAATGATGATAATAATCAACTAAAAGATAAAAGTAATATTAAAACATCGTACAAAGAGCATCAGGATAATCACGGATCTAAAAGACAAGAATCATCGAAAGGAAATGAAACTAAAAACGGCGCAAAAAAGGGAGATCATGCTGATAATCATATAGGAGGAAAAAAAATATCACAATATCATATCATAAGAATGAACATTTTAGCAGCAACGAAAAAAACATAATAACGAGAACGAAAATGATAGCAATCATATAAAAAAGAGAGATGGCATCGCAGTATCACGCGAACAGCATCAGAATGATCACAAGGAAGCCAAACAATATCAAGAAGATAAAAGTAAAATCTTTGAAAAAAAGGGAGAACATGTCAATAATCATACAGGAAGAATCATACAGGAAGGAGAAAATATTATAATATCTCGTGGTAATAATGGACAATCTCATGGCAACGATAAAGAACATAACAGCGGAAAAAGAAATGGCACCAATCACTTAGGCGGCAGTATCACAATATCACATCAAGTTAAAAAACATCAAGGATCATCAAAAGAAGTTGAAATTAATAATGGAGGGAAAAAGGAAAAGAGTGGTAGCGATCATGGTAAGAATAAACAATCTAATGACCATATAGAAAACAAAAATGATCATGGAAATATAACCATTAATAAAAGCCATGAAAACGGAAACAAAAGCAAAATTTCTATAGGACATGGCGGCGTGATAGGTGACAAAGGATCGAAAAACTGCGAAAAAAAAATGCACATTTATGTGATTATAATGAAATTTTCAGTACCGAAAAATGCGGAAGTAATGTTAAAACAATATTGAAGTTTGTCCAAGCATTTATTCATGGTTTCGACGAAATCGTTCACTTCTTATTATGGGTAAATATTAATCTTTTAATAAAGCTTCTTAATTTTGCAGCGTAAAATATATAATAAAAGCCAAGAGTTTGATACAATTAAAATAATATATTTTGTAAGAAAATTAAGAACAAAATATTGTTCATTTAATTTTACAATATTAAATTTCCATCTTTTTTTTACAGTTGAATGAAAATGATCTGCGTCGAGTGCTATGTCAAATTTCACCACGTAGTAGTAAGCTTTCTTGTCAATTGGGTTGCAATGTTCCTCGTGTTGCGCCTTTCTTTAAACATTTCTGAAATAATGATAAAATTTACATATTATGTTGCATAATAATAATTGCTTTCTGTATTTATAATATACATACATTTTTATTATAATAAAAATATTCATCACAGTTGTTCTCTTAATAATCTTAATAATCTATTATATACATTTAATAGTTATTAATATTAATAAATATACAGCAAATAATAAATTGTATCTTAATTTATACCTAATTTATACCTTCTTTTATGTATTAAATTAAATTTTTATATCCGTAATAAACAATCTCAAATTTTCGATTTCAATTTGATTTTGAGTCGACTGATTTGCACATATCTGTGATGATAATATGAAAGAATCGAAAGAGAAAGTAATACAATGTCGTAAGCCTGTATGTAACTTCGTCATCAAGAGTGAAATCCGTTAGTAGTCATTGGTTTGCTGTTCAACAGCAGCAAGCTTCGACGAATACTTGTTGTGTTTTAAAAGTAAACGAGAATTCGTTTCGCATTATTTTTGGGAATTAACATTTTTATAAATGTAAGTGCATCTTAAAGAGTTTCAAGTTTGTATCTTCGATTGAAAATTAATTCTAGAAATTCTTACGTATCGCATTAAAAAAAATTATGTTGCGAATTTTAATGATCCTATCATTTATCTGTTCGTTGGATTTACTGAGTGCGCGTCCTGCGGACGAACCAACAAAATTTATCCTTGGCAATATACAAAATAATGTCATACCTTCAAGATTGGAAGAAGCACAGGTAAAATGTTGCGCTTATAAAATTTATCTGCAAAAAAATTAATGAAAATGCAATCTTCGGGAAAGAAAAAAACAATTTGAAGAAGTGACATATATATCATACGTAGATTATCTCATGTCATTAATATGTAATCTAAAAGTAACAAAACAAAAAAGCGTAAATTGGCTACCAAATTTATATAAAATTTCTTAGATGTATTATTCAAAATCCTAATTGGTTTATGATTCGCCTGTATAATCGACAGGCGAAGTTAAAATGGCTATTTTGTAGGAATTATTAGAACGTGTTTTTGATGCAATTAGAATTGGCAGAGGAAAATTTATCAATTCGATAGTATTGACCAGAAACATCATTACCAATCGAGCGGAGGTAATTACAATATCTATTGAGTTTATCTAATGACAGTTTATGTATGTCATAACAATCTCTATATACGCAGAAATTCATTCTATATGTAAAAAATTGTCGAGTTATAATTAGCATTCAGATCAGACGTGATTTATCGATAATATTGAATAATTCATAAAAACAATCAGAAGGTTATAAGTAAAAATTTATCGAAACAAAATATCGTTCTAATTTTGTATTAATTGATAAACATATAAACATATAAACATACAAAGTTTTGCTATTATCTTTTGCATTTTCTTCCAATTTTTGCTATCTATTTTTCTTATTGCTAAATATTTTTTGTTTATATAATTATATAATAGGACAATGTTATTGTTCACTAATAAATTGATTTTTTTGCAGCAAATAAACAGCGAATTTCGAAATAATACTGATTCATTAAAATCAAACAAGTCACAAAGTCGCAGATCTATATTAATACCGATTAGTACAACACCAAGATCAGTTTTCTTTCCACCGCAAGAAACTGTTCGCTTAGAAAATGAAACTGCGCAAGGCATTTTAGAAAGACGAAAACCTGACAACATCAGACAAATTTTAGATAGTGTCCTGACTCCTAAGCCACTTCTTGATCGAACCAAGGAAGAAGAAAAATATGGTAATTCGGGAGATAAATTTATTGGAGTCGGGAGAGGAATCATTAATTTTTACGAGTACTTTAGCAATCTTGCAAATAATATATTGGACGTGAGTATATGATAAAATAATAAATAAACAATCGATATAATAAATCGAAATAAGCTTCAAAGGAAAATCAGAGAAGGCATTATCGGAAGAATTAGATCTTACGTATCTAAAAATTTACTTTTTATTAAATTTATATTTATAAATTCGAAATGATTGCTTTTATTGCTAACTACATACTATTAACAGACTTGCAACACAGCAGTTTAAAGCCATAATTAAATTTCTCCCCTGAAATCAATAATCAAATTTTGAAATCGATTAATTCCTTTCCTCCTACAGGAAATTCTTTTGAAAAATTTAACTTTTATAACTTTTAGCTGCTATGTCGCAAGTCTGTTAAAAATAATTACATGTAATTAACAATATAAGTAGTTTCCGAATTTATATAGATTTTTATATAGATATAAATATAATAAAAGATAAATTATTAGATATCTAATCTTTACCGAGTAATGTCTTCTATGATCAGTTCTTTGAAAATAATATACATATTTCAAATCAATAAATATTGAAAAAAATTTAGAAATCAAAAGATTTCTCTTGTGTAATCTAACTAGATCTGTAACAATAAGTTGTAATAAATTTTATATTTTTAGTATCCTGTTAATGCCGCTAAGCAAGCTTCTAAAGGAATAACGCGAGCGTTAAACGAAATAGGAGCACAGCTACTTGGACTCCAATAATAAGTATAAACATATGTAAGAATGCAAAATTAATAAAATGTATATAAATAAAATTAAATAAAATATATCTTATAAAAACTTTTTATTTGAAAAATACATAGAAACAAGATTAGATAGATCTTCTTAAGAATACGAATGAATGTTGAAATTCTCTCTTATGATAATAACTGTGTTGTTGATATAATTGATATAATTGGGTACAATTTGAATATAATATTGAGATCTGAGATACAACATTTTCGTATATGAGATAGTTTTTAATAAATTGAATATATAAGAAATATTTTATTAAATATAACATTATTAAATATTAATTATTAATATTTTATTAAATTGAATATACCAGAATTATTTATAAATATTGATCATATTCGACGTGCAAAAATATTAATTTCAAAAAGACTTAGTACTTTCATATTCTAAAAACGAATCCTGACCAACAGAGTGCACGAAATGTTAATTAAATACATTAATATTTTAGATATATTCCTTTTAATTTTTTAGACTTCTCTTTAAAAGTTAACTTGAAAAATTTTTTTGTTCTGTTTTAAAAAAGCCTATAACAAATTTGTATAGTACAATTTGTATAGTACAAGCTCCATTAATAATTGTATTACTTCTCATAGGTAAATAAAACAGATTAAACAGAAAACAGAGAAGGTTGTGCAGGAAAATTTTGTAACAGCTTGTAAACTTCGAAAAAATTAATGAGATATTAATTTATAAAAATCCGCGAATGAGCGTTCATATGAACAAACAGCCCAGATTTACACTCAATTATTAAATGCGTAGCCAAATGAAAAGAGTCTGAAAGTGTGCATTATAAACGGAGCTCTATTATTAATAATCATTAATTAGGGTGCTTTGTATAGTGATGATTTTCCCCCATATGATCCATTCAAATATGTTCATGCAATCGTATGAAAACTTTTCGTTATATTTGATATTTTCATTATCACATATAGCATTTTTATAAAATATTTTATATTTTTCATAACAAATCATGATTATCACACTATATATTATCGATGTATGCAGTGATCTATCTCACGAAAGACTTATAATATTACGTGTTTATTCCGAATTTTCAATTCTTTATGTGTATTTTTGTCATGCAATTTTAACTAAAATCATTGGGCTCGTCACTCCGAAATATAGGATAAGAAATGATGTCTATTTTACTGTTCCAAGCACAACAAAAATATATTATAAATATCGCTTTTATAACAAAATGAAACTAGATAATTTTCAAATTAATTAATAAAGCAAGATACAATGAGACCAAATATTTACTAAACTTTTACTAGTCTTTCGGAATATTATTTTGATAGATATTATAGCATATTTAGTGATATACATTCTGAGATATTGTGCGGAAGCCATGGAAAAACAGAAAAGACCGAAGTCTTACTCAGATATTGTGGAAACACTATATCAATATAAGTAATAATAAAATAAACTAAAGTGTAACTATTACAATAAAATTTATAAAAATAAAATCTCATCTCTAAATATAACAACACTTACGTTGCCATAAATAATGATAATGACGACGTAATTTGGAAAAATAAAGAAAGTAAGACTTAATAGCTTAATATGGCAATATTACACAAAAAAGAAAATTACACAGCAAAATGCAAAATTTGTAATAGATTGATAAAAAGCGTTCATAAAAAAGTAAAATAAATTTAAACAAACATTTTCTGATGAATCAAGAGGAAATAACAAAAATACAAAAAGCAATTTCAGACATTTGGTTATCACAACATTTTGTATTAGACATAGAAATATTACATAATTATATAATAATAACATTGCATTCATTGTAATCGCAAATTAAATGTACTTATTGGAATAGATGATTCAGCGAATCACTTGCAAATATTTCATGGCATAAATGAGATATAATAAATATAATTCAAGAACTGACAACAAAAATGTAGAGAATAATATGGACATATTATCATCATTGAAATATTCGTGAGGGTGGCAACATTATACACAAGTAAACAAAAATGAAATAAAATGTAACCGTTGTAATAAAATTTATAAATGTTCAAATATTAAGCCAAATATAAAACAACACTTGTAACGTGTTCACAAAATATTAAACGTCAAAGATTGGGAAAATTCGACACTAATACTTACTTGGCATGGTAATATTTTACTAAGAAGAAAGGATATACTGCAAGATGTAAAATTTGTAATAAACTGGTGAAACACGCATATCTTATGAAATTTAGAGTTTCATTTGATGAGAAGACATAACGAAATAACAAATATATCAGAAATATGCCTGGTTATCACGACATTTTACTATTACCAAAGATAATCACATGACAAGATGCGTTCACTGCAAGCGCAAATTGAGAGTATTTATAGGAATAGACGGTTTGGTAAATCACTTACTAACGTTTCACGATAATATAAGTAAAAATTTTCGAACTAACGAAAATGGAGAAAATGACGCGAACATAATGATGCAATTAGTAAATGAAAAGAACAGCGCAAGTACAAATTCTCGTCAGAATGATTGCGCGCAGGCTATGGAAAATGAGAAAAGATAAAGGTAAATATGACGAATGATATAGATTCATCTTTTAAAAGTGGCTTTCATAAACATATAATTTATATGCAACGTATATTTTAAAAGTTTAATACTTTTTATTTGTTTACCATAATGTTTATATAAACTTTAGTCAACAACTCAACGTGTACTTTATCATCGACGAGGTACTGTTAAAAACGATCAGTTTTATGGGAGTTAGCGTCACTATCAAAAGGGCCCGGGGATAATTGAAGAACATTGATATTATCGGTCGTTTTGACTATACTGAATGTAACAAAGGAAGGAAAACGTTTATTTATTATTGTTATTATGACGGATTTAATTTTAAATTAATAGTTCCTTTTATGAATATATAAGATAATATCAACGTTCTACAATTATTTCCTTTGGTGGTGACGAAAATTTATCCACAGTTATCGGTTTTTAATAGTATCTCGTCGGTGACTTTATTAATGTTGTGTTGTAGATATAAGAAAATATCTCTATTAAATCAAATTATTACGGAAAATTAAGATATGCAATTATTATTTAATTAATATATATGGATATATCACAACAAAACGATACTTAAAGTGATAATACACATCATCGAATTCACACAATTGAAATAATTTAATTATGACATATATTATATGTTCTAATTAATTATTCTAATTATGCTAATTATTTATGTTACAGATCTTGTTATGAATCACTTCAAAATCAGCCAACAATACAAACGAATAGTTTGTAACAGACATTGCAATCTGACAAAATATCAGATAATGATAGTTTAGTTTCAGATCTTTTAATATTTCGAGATAAAAGTAAATGTTTAAAGCCTGATGAAGAAACGGAAAAAAATACCTCAAATATACCAATGCAAAATTCGCTGGATGGAATGAATTTATCGAGTTCAAGATTTGATCAAGGAAATACACATTTGCAAGACACAACAAGTGAAGGAAATCGATGATAAAAATTCTAAATGTTATTTTTTTATCTTCCATATGTAATTTGTATACAAAAAATTGATATAAGTGTACATATAAATTGAAAATTGAATATTCATTATTCATTTGCTGTCGCATTTATATACATAATTTAAATATTTTATAGATCTGCACTTTATAATTACAGAACAGATTATGAATATATTAGAGTTACTAATCTTATATCTAAAAATAATTATTTAAAAGGTTATAATGAAATTAATTAATTTACTTTGCCAACACCTATTTCATAGATAAATATATTATAAATAATATGATATATAAAAGTTTATTTCAATCTATAAAACATTTGATAGTAATAATTATATTCAAAATTAATCAACATTATAATAAAATTTCATTCACAATTTTTGTAGTATACTTTGATAGTAATTCTTGATTTGGTGGCCTTTTCATCTTCCATCAAATTTATTTTAGTTTCGTCTGACCATAAGACATTTTTCCACTTTTTAAATCCTTCTGGATTTAACTCCATTTCACATAATTTTTTGTAAATTGTAATCTCCATTTCATATTTTTTAAACTTTCCCAGCAGCTCTACTATCTATCTATTTAAATTACATTCTTAAAATCTTCGTCAAATTGTACTCGCACTAATAAAAAGATTTAGTTTATTTTAATTTCATTTGACTTGAATGGATTTGTCTTAGAAACACGTACAATTTGACGATCAATTCGAGATGTGATTTTTCGCTTGAAACCTCGAGTTGCTTTATTATTTTTAAGTTTTAATGCATTTTCCATCATTTTTCTAAAGCGACTAATAATTTTTGCAATTTCTTGTTGCAATTTTCTTTGTTTTTCATTGTGTAAAGTTAAAATTTTTATTCTTTCATCAGCTATATAGTGAATATTTCGTTTCATTTTCGCTGCAATTTTACATAATTAACTAAATTTCATTATAATTTTACTATACCTAACCAATAAAATTACATTAATATTTAACTTATTTTTATATAAATTAACTTACATTTTGCATATTTATTGCGACAACGTGTTTAAAATAACACGTTAAACAATACAATGTCATATGTATACATATACAGTATATTACAATGTATGCATGTATGTATACGGAAATGACTAATAAGAAAAAATTTACTTCCATTAAGCATTTATCTACTGTAATAAATAATTTTTTACTATAATTTTGATACATTTTTAAAAAAATAACTTTTTTAACATGTTGCCTTATCTTAGTTTTCACTAAGTTAAAAGCGCATGAAAATATTTCTTTAGAAATACTTCATTTGGGAGTTGATCTTGACTCAAAATGAAAAAAATACTAGACTTAGATACTTACTATTTTCTTAAATACAAATCGTGATACGTTTGTAATTAAACAGACTGTAATGATGCGATCATTATTTATATTTTTATCGCTACTTTTCATTGGAAACATTGTGAGAGCAGTATGTATATGCATATTGATATATCATAATTGTTTCAATATTTTTTATTACAAATAATTATTACAAATAATTTTTTATTACATAATAATTTTTATTATTTTATCATATGTTTTAGTTTCTGTCAGGATATAATAAATATTCTTAATGTTCTTTAATAATATATCTGTTTATATGTATATAATCTAATTTAAAAATATTTGTTTTCTACATAATATTATGACACATTAAAAATATCAAACATATAATATTCAGGCAAAAATTTAATTTAAATTATCTACAGAGAAGAAATAGCAAATTTCAGATTTATTTTTTAGAATTTATTAGCTGTATGATAATATTTTGATTAATTATATCAAATGTTATGTGAATTGTAAATTAATAAACTTTATTTAGTTTTCTATTTTTTTTCAATTAGGCTATCGGTTCTAGTGTTGTTAAGTGTGTTGTCAAATGAAAATTCTATGGATGAAAATAAGTATAACAATTTAAGTGAATCATCATATGAATCATCATGTGAAATTTGCAAAGAATTGAAAATGAATGAATAAATTAAATTAAAATAAATATTGATGAAAGCGAAACAAATGATAACAAAGATGGCAAATACGGTGGACAAAACAAATAATAAAAATAAATTGGTATAGATTAAATATAAAAATAAATTGTATAAATATAAATATAAATTATATAAATTAAATTATATTTTTATCAAAGTACAAGAAGAGAATTCAAAATTCTTTTATAGTTTACACGATCAAGATAATCCATAATTAATCCAACAAAAATTTATCTTCTCTTTAATGACTTTCTTAAACTATTTAATATTTTAGTAAAAATCTTAAAAATTAATAATTCGATAATTATCGCGAAAATTATAAAATAGTAGAAGATTTTTTTATTCAGTTTACCAGTTCTACTTGCACACGAGAGGTGATATGACCGATGCCGGACACCCTGTACACACACACACACACACACACACACACACACACACACACACACACACACACACACACACACACACACACACACACACACACACACACAACAACAAACTAAAC